GTATCTACCTGTAAAATATTAGGACTTAATGTATTCATTACTTTATAGCAAATTCTATATATTAAAGCTATATTTTGGGATCCTGGGTTCATATCAAACCCTTGAGTTTTTAAATTACGAGTTAATACTTTAAGTATATTAGGATCACTTAGTGATACAGAATAGGTAGGGAAACAGTTAAAGTAAACTGGGCCACTACATAGGCTTGATTCTACTATTCCTAATAATGAGTCTGCAAACTGATTATGCCTACTATCTCTTAAGCATAAAAGTATAGAGTTATTTAATCCTAGTCTTGTAAGTGGTTTTACTGCTATTTGTATTAATCCTATATGTAGATATTTATATTCTTTCTTTAGATGAAATTGAATTATTTTATTGGATAATAATTGGAAATTTTCTTGATCACTTTGAACAGATAGACTTTGTTCTACTGTTTTTATAGATATCCTGTTTTTAATTCAAAGGTGCCTTTTTTATAAATATCAAATATTGGGACTTTTGGTATGTTCCAATTTTGAATCTGGTTTTCTATGTTTTCAATCATGATTTCTTCTTTGTTCTTTATTCTCAAAGTGCTATTAGTTGGTATCAGAGCCAGATTCAAGTAGATTCTTTATTTAAAAATTGTTATTAAGAAGTTATAATACCTTAAGCGTTAGGAATCTGATAAAAGTCCACCATTAGAAAAGTTAGTCCGAGCGTTGAGACCGTTGTCGCCCAGTCAGTTGTCCGCTTAGGCCAAGAAGAGCCGTCAAGGACGTAGAAGACGTAAGAGGTTGGTCTAAAGGTACTCATCCGTAACTTTCAATGGAGAATTATATATATATATATATATATATATATGGCCTTAAATTGTTCAAACCAAGGGATATGACCCTCCTCATCAGTTGAGTGGTTTCACTCCTTTCCCTCTTCAACATACAGTAGTCGAGTACGAAGGTCAATCTAGATCCGAAATAGGCTTTGACTATGGATCTCGATCTTTTGGTCTATGCAGGGTTTGCCCTCCGAACATCTTTCTCAAGTCTCAGTTCTGGTTCGAACAATTTCAGCCTTTGAATTAGCTACTGCTACTATAGATGTAGAGTAGAATGAACCTTCGTTGTACTCACCCGGCAACGATGGTAGGGAAGGGCATTTCTTTGCCGCGATCCCCACGTTCAGCTGTTAATCCGTACCTCTCGACCGTGATAGAGTGATATTATATTCAATTCCTCGATGACCGAGCAACAAGCAAAGCCATTGCATTAACGTGCATCCGTTTTCTTGCAAGTAGCAACATCTAGCCTAGCGCGAAAGCCGATGTACGAACGCGCATCAATTTTCTTGCAAGAAGCAACAACTAGCCTAGCACGACCGTTGTATTAACACTTTGCTTTCTGGCTACCTATGTGTTTATTATGGTTTGGAGCCAGCCGTCGACAGCATAGCTATAGCATGCTCGAGCCCACTACAATATCTAGGGCAAGGGCGCAATGCCTCGGCAAGTGTCCCACGTCGAGTCCAGAGGTGATTGGAGAGTAGCCCAGTTCGATCTCATCAATCTCTTCGTCCCTCTATCAATATACCTGAATCAGCAGGTATGATATTGATATATAATAACCCTTCTCAACTAATGGGTTTTTTGTTATTAAACCAGGTTGAATACTTCATCAAAGGGGCAGAATGCCAGAAACTGTAGCCATAGCAGCTATGGAAATAGCTGCATGAAAAATGCCTATACGAACTCAAGTCATTATTGCAAAATAGGGATTTGGAACCCATGATATATTTGTGATGAAAAAACTCTTCCGTCTTAACCCAATTTATGATCCTAAAATCCAATTTGTGTAAAAACTTCTGGATGGTTATCCTCCGCAGTAACTGAATTCTTTCTGGTTAAAGAATCTCTTTCTAGTTTCTATTGAACAATTAGGAGATTCTTTGGAGAAATCCGGGTTCTGATTATGACGGCAACATGCTTTAGTCATCATGGATGGTAAGGTGGCTGAAGTATACAAGCAGGAGTGTGAGGCAATTGGAGTGGAGTTATATCAATAGGATGATTGTTTCGCTTCTGCATATCTCTGAGAGTTGTTTCATGGATCTGAAAGAGAGTACTAGGCTTCTCCCAATAACTAAAAAGTGTATCATGCCTGAATCTAACCGGATCGAAAAAAAGAGGGATTCAAAGTGCAACCTTGTAGTACTGGCTGCTACTTCCTTTGAGGGCATACCATATGTTTATAGTCATGACTGTTGTCATGGAAAAAGAGTTTGTTTTGTGTCAAAGAAGCATGCTTAACACAGGCTCTAATTAGAGCTGCGTCTAAATTCTAAATACGGGCGGGTCCGTACTCTCTCTTCTGTAGATACGCTATCCCCTCCAGCTATGGTATGGGGGAAGGTTCAATGCAATTGGCCAGTAGGACCAAGCCTTGAAGAACGAAGAAGAAGATTTAGCAAACAGTTTGAGCACCCCAGCCTAGGTTCCTTGTCGATATCCACGGCCCATCCATTGAAGATCCTCTCTTTCCATAGCATAAATGTATTCCATATCCCCTCGTAGGAGAGCTTGTCCTAGCATCTCGGCCACCCTATTTATTTGTTTGTGATTTCTTTCGCGCGTTCAACCAGCCTAATGACTACTTTTTTACTTAGCATTCATTTTTTTACCTTGATGAAATGCTGCTGCCCGAGGAAAGACAAACAGGAAGACTGAGCCCATGCTCGTCCATTGGTGTGCCAGTCAGTGAGCTCACTGTCTCTCACTTCTCCCTCGGCAGGTGAGGGTCTAGCAAAGCAAGACACTCTATCGTACTGGAGGGTCGAAGAAGAGGAAGACCTCTTTCTTAGGCAGCTATTATTACACACACGTATGTATAGAGCTCGTTGGGCTCAGGCTCGCTAATGCTACCTCTGATGCGTTTCTATTATATAAATAGGACGGGTAACCACCAGCCACCTCTTGTTTATATAACTCACGCGAGGGGGGGGGGGGGGGGGGGGGGCTACCTTCTTCGATTTCCAGCTACCTTCCATAGCTACCCTCCATCCCAAGCGTAAGAGATAGGACAACACACGTGAGCCACCATGGAGGAACGAAATAGCTTTCCAACGTTTCCAACAGCATTACAAAAGGGTGTTACCACTTCTAGTTGCAAAATAGAAAGACCAACGATTCTTTCAAGCATACACCTGTGAAGCAACAGTATTGATATCGATGAATGAAAGTAGTTTAGTGCCGGGAAGTTCAAGTGGAAGAATGAAATGGCCTGCCCGGTTGCTTCCCCCACGTTGACTGCGATTCGGATAATTTTTCATTGACTGACGCCACTGGGCAAGCAGAATAAGACCGTTCGTTTCATCCAGCCAAGCAAGAAGATACATACGGACGAAGGCATAGTGCGGGATGGAAGAAATGGAACAAAAGGAGAAGAAATGGCAGTAAGATCATTCATTTTGTCTTCTGTGTCTGGGCAGGAAAAGGGGAGGCGAGCAGGCAGCCACCACGTGATACAACAGCTATATATCTAGAAAAATGATACACTTGCTAAAGTGATACAGCTGACCTGCTGTATTGTCGAGAAGAAAGAAGTCGTGACCTCCTCCAGTGTCGAGAAGAAAGAACTCGCAAGGAGAAAATACAAAGCCCTAAGAGGACAGTTTAGACGCTGGTTCACTTCGGGAGGGCGAAGTCCACACACCATAAGTGGGTAGGGTCCCTAATAACCGGCTCTCTCCTTGTTTCTGCTTCCCTCTCAAACTCCCTCCCTCCAGAAAGTAGGATATATGGCATAGGTAATGCGAGAGGAACGAATAGGGATAGCCTTAGACACGCATGTCACGATTTTGACTGCCCAATAACCAATTTGGTCCTGAGGTAAGGAATATAAACTTGATCATTTTAGATACTTTTTCAGACCCATTAAAAACAAAATTATCTTACAGGTTGTTTTTCCTTTGAAGAAGAATGCTTCCTTTCAATACGATGTAGGGAAGCTCTTCGCTCACTCCCTTGACTCTCGGAATCGGCAACATGGAAGAAGTTGCTAAGGTTCCTTGATGAAAAAACGCTAAACCATAGAGAATACCTAAGGACACGAGACAACTCTCTCTAAGGAACTCCGCAAAATAGCCCCGTATTATATCTCCCTCTTATATGGTAAGAACTGTCACTACTAGTACTAGTTCTACTTCTTATACTATAAATCCCATTGTCACTCCGCACTAGGATCTCCAATAGCTAGAGACAAGAAATTCATATGAGAAGACATAAGTAAACGGGCTTCTACTTGAGGTTCCAAAGATCCCTGAAACTGCTCAGCCGAGGATGAACCAACTCATAGTTTCATGAGAAATCCATTCCTTCAGGTAATTGAATGCCGCTTTACCTTCACTCCAGAGCCTTCGTTCACTAGGGAAGAATGCGACCTAGTGGCTAAAACTCATACCTCTGTGGTTCTCCCTGTGCCATTAAAGGAAAGGAAGCTTTGCTCTCGACGCTTAGTCAGCTAAGCAAACCAAGCTCCCTGGCCTGGCACGTAAGCTTCAGGCGTGCTTGAGTAACCAGAAATGGTTGGTGACAAAGACTAGGTAGCTTGCACTGCGATGACAATATCGTCACCAAGAATCGCATAGGCCTTGAATCTAGCACCGGGCATCACCTTTGAAGCAGCCAACCAACCGCACCATTAAATGGTGAGTTAACGTGAAAAGAGGCCGAGAGCTAAGGAAACCTAATGGCTGTCCACTCTTTCAGGAAACAATCTGAATACAATCCTTCTTAAGTAAGGGCCCGATGTAAAACACATTTAGAATAAGTCCTATCGAAACCAATACACATGTATGTTGTATGTACATACTTATTAAGGCATGTACATATGTATATATTTAAAGATGCAACCCGAAAAATAAGTCATATAACGAACAATCATTTAATCTACAAAGAGTTAAAGAGTACCATAGCAGATCATGTCTTGTGAAAGCTCATATTGTCATAAGAAGTGAAACTTTACCTCCAATTCCTCCAACAGTCAAAATAGATTGCACAGCCACTCCACAAGCCTCAGCTGAAGCCATCAATCCAAGGACTAGCAGACCCATAGAAGACAATCTGTCTAAAGCCAATATCCTTTCTCGATCAAGCCCAGTTATAACATGGGAAGAAAGCATACGAGTAAAGACATTTGTCTTCCATCTGTATAGAAACCATATGACTGAAAGAACAAAAGCACCTCTCCAAGCTTGTATGATAAAATGGGAAGAAAGAGTAGTTGGTGCAATCATTACACCCCTGCATAAGACAAAACAAATCTCAACTAAAATAGAAACAGAAAATAAAACAGAAACTTCTAATATGACAAGCAAGAGAGAACGATCAAAGACCTACATTCCACCGGTATGCACTCTAAAAGAACCAATATTTAGCATAGTAGAAATTCCTGACATTACCTATTATCTCCTATCAGTACTCTAACACTAAAGAACTAATTCTGACTACTAAATCAATATGTAATTACTTCCCTTACAACAGGTGTTATACTCTCCAGTTCTCGATTGCAGATCTTTAACAGACAAATAGTCCTTGGTGTTCTCATAAGCAGTTTTGCCTGGTATCATATAACAAATACAAAGCATGTACCATCTGTATACCAGTTATTGAATTAATCTACAATCGCATAACAATCATAACCATTATACTATAGTGGTAATCTGGCAAAAAAGGAGGCACACTCCAAGTGGGGAATATAGAAAGTAAGTTGAGTACTAAACACTCACAATTGTGAGAATGCCATAAAGGTAACTAGATATCGTACAGGATCTTCCAGAGCACCCCAGAAACTTTGCTCATAAGAAACTTCGTCACGAGACAATCGCCCTGAGAGTAATGCGGCAGGACCTTGCTTTGAGTATTTGTGAAGTCTCCTAAGTATTCTAGGCATGACCATCCAAGCCATTGCAGTTGCAACGGTTGTCCCAACCACTGGAATAATTGTATTTCTTAGAACAGGAGAGGAATCAATATATTGTTGAATGATGGGAAGGACTTCATCATATGTTTCCTTTGTATTTCTTCCCATGTCCACAGCTGCATTCATAGCAGACTTATAAGCATTCTTGGCCATGTCAACCCAGTCACTTCCAATGCCATTGTCATCAATGTTGGGTTCTCCTGAACTAGAGGCAGATGGCACGTCTGATTTTTTATGGTTATCTCGCTTACCACCAACAAATGATGAGTACGAGTGATACATGGAATAATCACCTAGACCAATTTGAATATTGTCCATCCTAGAGCATAAAACACCTTTCACTGGTGCATGGTTCAGTAGACAAATTGGGGATAAGAGTACTCCTCTTTTGTAATATCCACTATCTGCATAAGATGGAGAAAACAAAGTTCTGTTCCCTGTGTCCCCTATAAACCTTTGAGGAAGCCAGTCATTCACAGAGTGGTCACTAAGAACGTGTACACCCAATAATCTAGGAAACAACTGCGAAGTGCTCAAACTGTCCATGATAGAGTTGCAAGACTGGAATTTATGGCGTTTACAAGAACACTTCATGCCATCATACAGAGATCTGAGGAAAGCACCATTTCTAGCCATCAACCAACCTGCTGTTGAATATTTTGGATTCTGCAAATTCAAAACCAAATATGTGTGCATAAGTTACAAACCACAGAGTGTAAACTAGGTCGTTATTTCAATAATCAATTGCACTAAGAAGGTGTGGGAGATAAGTAGCACATACTGTGATATGAGTTGATTCATAGACTAAATGATCTCAGAAAACCTGTCACCTGATTTCAATTGAACAAGGAAAAATAAGATTACAATTGAAGGGTCAAGACCGCCGACATATAAATAAGGCAACAATATGAAGAGCTTATGCCATATTTGTTTTCCATAAATATGACTTGATTTAATCAAGGAATGTGAACAGTTTTGAAAACAGAATCTATAAGACACTTGAATTTTAAGAGCTTCACGACATTACAGATATTCCAAAATCAGCAGAGCAAAAAACTGAACTAGAAATACCAATTGAGAGATTGTCAACACCCTAAACCCTGAATCAAATGAGTTCCAATTCTAAATGAATGCAAGTCCAAGCAAATAAAAACAAAATTTACTCAACGAAAAACAACATGAAAATCCCTATCGGAAAATCAAACAAATATAGAAAAATAACGCAAATCAGAAGAAGAAAGGACAGTCCAATATCTTCTATTCGCATCTTTAAAATTTGAAGCCAAATTAAAAATGAGATGGTGCCAAGCCAAGTTAACAAGGCAAAGTCGTAATTTCAATAAACTCCTCATGACATATGGGATTAAAATATAGCTCTTGGTGCTAGCAACTTCTCTCACTTAATCTATAGTAGATGCATATGTTATAATTACCATACAATGTATTCGATGATATATTTTATGTTATATTGCTAGAATGCACTATTATACACTCTATTACTATTATTGTGCAATATAATATAAATGTATTAAGGGGATGATGCAGAATGAAAAGGGGCACTGAGAAGGGCTCAGATTAACTTTAACACCCCTATCTAGTACGAAAATAGAAATCCCAGATCTTATTTATTTGAGAAGTCAGCCCACTCAATTAAAGTAAAGCAGCCCAAATTGGAAAAGTCCAAAGACTTTAAAGTAAGTCGCCTAACTTTTTCAAATTCATATAGTGTTGCTGATGTGAACCTTGTTTTCAAGTTGTCTGCACTGTCCCTTTTTCGTGTTGAGCGAGCTTATCAAGTCGGGGTGCCTTTTCAAATATTGCCAAATAAGCAACTCAAAATGAATGAAAATTTTACCATAAAACTAATTAGGACAAGGCAAACTAGATGCAATCTTTCAGCTTATGTGAAGCACAATGACATTAGCGATAAAAGAAACCCAAATTATACCATTGAACATAGAGTCTTCTGATAAGTTATTAACCACATCATTGAATCATTTGTTGTGGGATTACTGAGGTGAACAAAATTTCTATTACTTCAAGGGAATCCAGGCCCAAATAGTACCACTTGTGACATGTAATTTCCATGTGTGACCATCAAGTCATCTACTTGACATTGAGTTACTTATATTGGCTTCCGATCAACAACATTGTCAAGATTCTCCTAAGAAAGATGTTAAACATTGATTCAATATGGACCTACAGAGTTGGCTTCAACATCATTAATAAGAACAGGTTTCAGGTTTATAAGTCTAAGATTAATGACTTAACTCTATTTCCAAATTCAACGACCAGTTAAAGAACAAAAATAAATTATAACGCAAATGACTGACTTAAGTTGATTACAATGTAGTGTTACTCAAAGGGATTTCTTACCATATAGGAGATATTGATGACATTTGTTAAAACAGGACGATATATTGGTACAATTAAATGACTGTGATGGTTCAGCATAACCTTAAACCGGTATAGTGTCAAATGTACTAAATGACACAAGATGCAACAATGATATAACAGATTACATGCATAGAACTAAAACTGATCATCAAAATAATTTTGCTTGATACATAACAGTAAAGGAATGAAGCAATCAACAAAAACTAATGCTCTTTAAATAATTGAAAATGAGATTTAATGTGAGTTAATGTACTGACCAAAAAAGAAATCATTTTGGTAAGTGGGCACATAAATGAAAATCAAGTCAAATGGAGATAGTGATAAATCTAAACAAAAAGTACTAGCCAAGGATCAGAAGTATGATAATTCTATTGCACACCTAAACAATTTGCAGAACAATACTGCACAACATTAATTGAACAGTGTCTAAATGATACAAAAAATTAGCACCATGACTGAAGTTTTGGAAGTGGAAGTTCATTTTGATTCCAAAAGCAGTGTACGCTCTGAAAAGGGAAGAAGCTAAGGTATACAAGTTGAAAGGCATTATATGGCCTAAAACAAGATAAATATTGACTGTACTATCCATTAATGAGACAGAATACACAAGGCAGCATAGGACATTTCCAAGAATAATGCTGAATTAGTTGTGGAATAAGCAATTAAACCAATAGGACCTTACTATGAGAATGAGTTGGTGATATCTCATTGCCATAGGACAATGCTAGAAATAGTTGAAGTAAACATATCAAAGTACTTTTGTCCTCTATCCATCAATAGGTTGAAGGAATCAAGCCATAAATTTGTAAATCAAATAAATAAATTGCCATAAATTTGTGAGTCATATGAACATATTACAAATGTATTCACCAAGGGGAACGAATCGCATGCTACATGCATCATACAATCAGTATGTTACAAGCAGTCCCCACTTGTCACTTGTCAACTAGGCAGGGTTGAGATGAACTAATCTTTCATTGAGAGACGTGGATAGACTTGAGCAAAGTACAGTTCACCTGAACCATCTAAAATTGAGTCCTGGTGATGGTACATGTCGCATAGTGTTTCTATGTTAAATGTAGTATGCTAGACAATCCTTTCAAAAAAATGTTTTATTGATACATATGAAAGGCAGTAAGGTGCAACATTTACAGAATATGGTTCTGTTCTCTCAAACTGCATTTAATTGATTAATGTGGTTGCATTTAAAAAATGTAGTGAAGATCAATACATTAATCCACATTTCAATGCTTAGAGGAATTCAGGTATGAATTATTTTCTTTTTGAATGCACAACTTCATTAAACTGAATATAAGTTATGCCAATCATATGTTAAAAAGCAAAAGATTAAGTGGAGGCATTCCACGTATATATTTTCTGAGAGAGAAGAAGTGTATTGCAAGATAATTCTCACATGCTTTTGTGATGTATCACCAATCAAAAAAAAGGAAAAAGAAAAATATGACATCTGGTGATTTTGATCAAGGTATAGAAGTTTTTGATTCCTACTTACCAAAATACAAACAAATTTGTTGTATAATTGGTTATGCTGCAATCAATCAAATTTATCCAACCAATAATCAACCAATCTAGGGCTGGTGAAAGCAACAAATTGAGTGTAAATACATTTTCCTCTTCCCCGAGAAACAAGGAGATGGAATCGAAGTTTAAGCACAGTCGCAGTCAATCGAGGATGGGAAAAAGCAGGAAAATTTGAGCAAGGGGTCCATCACTCGTACGAATATATGTACTGTGTTATACATTTAAATATGAATTTGGACATTAAATGGTCCCACGGGACGATACTGTTCATTAACTTTCCTGTGATAGTTCAGGACCGTGAATTTTGCGCGTCTACCCTTTGACAGTATGTAAGACAATATGAGTGCGTGGCAATTCACACTATGAAAAAGGCGTGGAGAGAGAATGTGGGAACTGGGATACATGGTCGTTCAAAATTGGACGGGCCAGACCGGAATTATAGAGGAATGGTAGGATGGTAATGGACCCGGACCTGATGGGTGGACTCGGTCCGGATCCTCATATGGGTCAAAAAATTGGACCATGTAGGTTGGGTCTGGTCCAAATCTTGGATTCGAACACTATTTTGGTCTGGATCGCCATATAAACTTGAATATGTCCCAACCCGAATGGTGTTAATAATTAAATAATATTTAAACAAGTATGCCTAGATATTTTTAGCTATGATATTTAAATAAAGGTGCGGTTTGTATAGAGTCGAGACTCTAAACAATCAAATTAGAGCCCACATTCAAATAGTATCAAGAAAAATAGTTTCAATACTAGAAAGTTTTATGACCACCTTAAATTATATTTTCATCTTTAGTTATAAAATTTAAAGTTTCAAAAATATTGTAGATCAAACAGATCTATGAGAATTTGAAAATCTTGAAAATTGACGGTCCAAAAATGCATTATAAGGTGCACTATTTCCAACACTTGAAATCCATTTTTTTCTCATGTCCACACATCTTGATGTCGAGATGATCAATTGGATGATATTTGGACATCAAAACAACAGCTTCTAGTGAAAGTTTTGAGGTAGGCTCTAATTGGATTGTTTAGAGCCTAGGCTCTATATTAACTTTTCCCTTTAAATAATGCATGTATATATTTAATAAATTTATGAAGTAGATTTAAATATATAGATATTAACCAATCGGGTTCGAGTCAGTGTCCCTCATCATATTTTTGAGTCCGGTCTAGTTTGGGTCCCATAATAGTTTTATGGGTCTTGGTCTTGGACCCGGACCCGACTTGTTGCCACCCCTAAGAAAAGGAAATAGTATGTACAGCTTATCAATGTGTTTCTTACAATACGGGACACGTTTTTGTGAAAATTAGACAGAGACCACCCCCATCACACGAACAATTTTTTTCAAAATTGCCACCTATCCTACTTTTCCAACACCAAACATATGAGAAATCCGCAAGTTTTTTTATATTTCTCTTAGTCAGGGCATGTCCGACATTTGAAACATCAAATAATTATTGTTTGGTATTTCGAATGTAGTTGTTTCGTGTTTCTAATATCCAACAGCTTGACTTACTCAACGTCCACTTGATAATAGGAAAGTCAAACAACCTTGAGTAAGAAAAATGATCATTAACTCATCCTAATCTTAGATCCCCAGGATGCGTGCTTACTTTATTTAAGTTAGCGTGGTGTAAGGATTGTGTTGGAGTAATTGATGAAACACACCATCACATGTTCAATTAGAACCCAAGATCATGGACAATTCTAGGAATGGTGAGTATCACAAAATGTGATGCCTGTATTTTACTTATTTTTAAGTATTTTCTATGTAACGGTTTATTATGCAGTCAGAATTTAAAAAGGATTTGATTCACACTCAAAACTTTCATAAAGCAATAAATAGGGGTTCTTGCGAGTACAACTATCCTGCAAAGACGATTTACCTTTTCTTAACATGCCCATGTTGCTAATATTTGAGGATGGCTCTTTTCCAAATATAAATGATACTAGGGGATGCCACGAGCCATTATGTTTTTTTTTTTTTCTATCTGGGGTGGGCTCCACCATACCAAAGGGGGCCTCTGGCTATGGAGAATATGTTTAACACTCATCATTTATTGGGCCCAAGTTCAGCTGACATACATGTCTATGCCGAAGGAGTTCTTTAATACTCGTATCAAGGAATCGTTGGCTTCTAAAAAAAATAGGGTAGTTAAAGTCAGTGAATGGACTTCCTCATGTAGAGGTTGGGTGAAACATAACTTTGATGGTAGTGTCAGATGTAATGACTAGGTGGTAGGCTAGGGGGCATCTTGAGGGATAGCGACGGGGAGGTCCTATGGACTGTTGGATTATGAAGGAAGAGATAGATCCTTAAATTCCCAGGATTAGGAGCAATGTCGTGAGACTGAGGATCACAAAGTGGAGGGTCTTCCATAACAATGAGAACTCAAGCTTCTCTGTGTATACGTCTCCATGGTCATGAAATGCCTAATTATAAAGGATGGAGGAGGTTATTCTCCAATGTTCGGTTTTTTCCTTAAAACTCTGAGAAACGTGGCCATGTAATCCTGGGATGCGGGTGGTTATTTTCTACTTGTTAGATAACGACAATTTCTCTCTCTAATAAGCCTCCCTATTTTAGTGATAAACATAGACTTTAAGATAAGGAGATAAATATTTGGGAGCCCCATGGCCACCCATATGTGTCAACATTCACCCACTTGGCCATGAGGGTTAGGTATATTAAAATAATATTACTTAGTAATTTAACATTTATGAGCATATCATTGTCGTGAAGCTTTTCACGTTAGTACGGTTATACATCTCATAACAAAAACTATCTAAAGTCATGTCATGGGTTTTTCACACTAATGCGATTTTTCCTCTCATGACCAAGACATCAAAGAAATAATATCCCATTTGGGAGTTTCTGACTTAAATATTTCTAAGTCCCATTAAAGCCACATGCTTTGAAAATATTTATCCACTCAACCTGTTTATTAAAGGGTCAGCAATCATATCTGAAGATGGCAAATAACTTACAATTATGTCATTATTTTCAATAATATCATAAATACAATGATAATCAATTTCAATATGCTTACCTTTGGAACTATAAGCTCAATTTCTATTTGATGAGATAGCAACCTGAATTAACAGGTTCGTCGGCTATATCCAACTTCAAATCATTTATGAAGCGTTTAATCCAAACGGCATAAGTTGTAGCAATGCTACAAACAATATAGTTGGCTTCCATAGTATACCAAGCTACACAACCTTGTTTATTGCTAGACCAAGAAACATAACCACCTCCAAAGAGGAGTACAAATCATGAAATTGATTTTCTATCACTCGAGTCTCCTGCAAAGTTTGCATCAGAGTACCAAGTAACATCTAAGTTTTCAGCTTGGAAGCACAACTTGTATTTTTTAATTTTCTGAATATATCTGAGTATCTTTTTTACAGCTTGCTAATGAGTCATCCCAAGATTACTCTGAATTCTACTTACAATACCATATGCATTACTCAAATCAAGTATTGTACACAACATGACATAATTTATGCATTCTATAGCTTGAATATATGGAATTCTTTCCATTTCAGCTTTGTCACTATCATTTAATTGGCACATTTTCTTTGACAATTTTAAGCCTTTACAAACAGGTGTATCTATCGACTTACAATTTTACATCTTAAATCTATTTAAAATACTTTCTAAATAATTTTATTGAGATAAACATAAAAATCTTGAACTTCTATCTCTTGTTATCTTAATGGCTAATACATATGAAGCTTCTCCCATATCTTTCATCTCAAAATGATAACTTAACTATGATTTGGTATGGTTAATCATGTCAATATCATTACCGGCTATCAAAATATAATCTGCATATAGTGATAATATAACAAAATTTCTCCAACTATTCCAAACATATACGCAATGGTCTAACCTATTGGCTATATAACCAATTTCAATGATTGTATTATGAAAAATAAAGTACCATTGCCTAGATTATTGTTTTAGACCATATAAAAATTTCATAAGTTTATATACTTTGTTTTCTTGGCCTTTAATTATATATCATTTTTATTGTTTCATGTATATATTTTCATTTAATTATCCATTTAAGAAAGTTATTTTGACATCCGTTTGAAATAATTATTGATCATAATATGCAACTAATACTAGGATGATCCTAATAGATGAAATTTTTGCTACAAGAGAATAAGTCTTTACATAATCTATACCCTCCCTTTGGGTGGATCTTTTTGCTACCAACCTAGTTTTATATTTATTAATGAATTCATTTGCTTTAAGTTTTTTCTTTAAGACCTATTTACAACCAATGACTTTTCTATCTTTAGGGAGGTCAACCAACTCCCAAACTCGATTTATTTTAATAGAATCAAGTTCATCATTCATAGCTTGAGAGATTTAAAGAATAATTATATTCATTAAAAAATACATAAAATTCTTATAAAGTCATAGGTGAGGCTCTAGTTCTTTTATGCCTGTCTGGTATACTTGATTCAATTGAATCATTATCACTAAATGTAGAGGGAGTATAAGAAACTGGGTTTTCTAGACCCTTATCTTTATCAATTTCATGCAAGCCAACATGCTTATTTAAAATATTTTCATCATCTATATTTTCTAAGAAATGAACATCACAACTCTCTACTAATGGTTTAGTATCATGGTCATATAATCTATACCCCTTAGAATTTTCTGAATAGCCTATAAAAGAGCATTTTATAGTTTTACTTTGTATTTATCTCTATTTTGTAATGGTATAAGTACGCTCAAGAACCCCAAACTTTCAATATAGTAAGGTCGGGTTTCCTACTTGTCATAATTTATTTGGGGTCAAGTATATAGATTTTGTTGGAACACGATTAATAATATACATTGCAGTGTTGAAAGCCTCACCCCAAAATGAGTTGATAAATTTGAATGGCTCATCATGGACCTAACCATGTCCATTAGAGTTTTATTTATCCTTTCAGCTACACCATTTTGTCGTGGTGTATATGACATAGTTGTTTGGTAAATTATACCATGCTCCATTAAGGCGGCGCAATATTCACCTCTCGTATCTGTTCGAAGAATTTTAATATGTCTGCCTAACTGATTTTCTACATCAGCTTTATATTATTTAAATATTTCTAATGCATCTAATTTTTTACTAATTAGGTATGCGTATCCATAACATGAATAATCATCTATAAATGTTATGAAATATTTCATACCTCTATGTTGTTTTTACATTTAATGGGCTACATATATCAGAATGAACAATACTAAGTAATTCACTAGACCTTTTCCCTTTAGGGAAAGACTTCTTAGTTAATTTTCCATAAATACATGACTCGTATGTTTTGAACACAATTTCTCCTGCATTGGGGAGTAAGCCTCTTTTAACCATTTGATTCATTTTATCTTTATTGATATGTCATAATCTTAAGTGCCATAAATATGAGTCATCTATACAAGCAAAGACATCAAAAGAGGCATCAGAATAACAAAAAAAAGATGAGCTTTCATTAACATTCAGCCAATACAAATAATCAACTTTAGTATCATACACCAATGCTCTATAATGTTTCCCAATGGTGCCCCGAGCCTAAGGATAGAAATCAAATTGTGCTTCATATTGGGCGCATACAATATATCAATCAATAAGATATTTGTTCCTCTTGGTAAATACAGCCTGAAAGTATCAACACCTAGTACATCACAGTAGGTGTCATTTCTCATGTGAATCCACTGGTTACCGGCTACAATATCCTTTAATTATGTGAATCCATCCTTGGTCCTCAAGACATGTCAAGTGGAGGCTGAATCGACCTACAAATTTCTCAGGTCATGATCGGTAACTATTTATTCTAAGACTACGCAGATCAAGTCATTTATTTTATTTTGATTATTTCGAACAGGTCTGGTTCCTGTTTTTATTTTTCAGCTTAGGACAATTAAACTTGATGTGCCCAATTTCCTTACAATAAAAACATGTATTCTCAACCTTATTATTTTGATTTTTAAAATTTGTTCCCTTTCCCTGTACTTATTATTATTAAAAGATTTATTGGGGATTTGAGAAGATGAACTTTGGGCAAAGTGGAGCTCGTTTTACTTTTTCGTAATTATTCTTTCAGCTTCAGTACTGAGGTGTATGGGAAGATTTAGCATGGTTATCCCTTGTATAGAATGGTTCAATGCAATTACAACAGACTCCCAAGATGGAGGGAGACTATTAAGGACAATGGACACTTGCATGCAGACGGGGATTGGATTCCCAGCTACAGCAATGTCATTTGCGAGCACTGTCATTTTATTGACATGCTCGGTCACTGAGTTTGATTATTTAATTATGCAAGAATTGTACTTTTCTAACAATTGTACATGTGTCTCAAAAGTGGTCCCATATGTTTCAGATATGGCACCCATCATACTTTGAGCTGTGGTGTGATCCTCAAAAACTCTAATCAAACCATCTTCTATAAAGCTCAACATAATAGTCTTATCTACTTTGTCATTTTCTAACCATTTTTCAATTCGCCTTCTGGCTTGACCATTGGCATTAGGCTCTAAACAGGTGGTTCAGTATCTAGGACATAATCTACCCTATATTGGAAAAGAATATATCCAATTTTATTTTTCACATAGAAAAATTGGTCCCATTGAGTTTTTCAAGTTTGGATAGTTATGACATGACTAGCTTAGATTCCATTTTAAAATTTTAAATAATACCTAAAAGTTCAAGAAATTTAATTGTGTTTAAGAAAATGGTTGTCTGCTAGTTAAATCAATAAGTTTGCCAACTCTCAATGAGCTACAGCCTTAAAGAAAATTTTTTTTGAACAGTTGATGTTCGCAATGAGGAAACCAAATAATCGATTTCGATCCAGGGACCTGTGGGTTATGAGCTCACCACACTTCTGCTAAATTCTCAGGATTAGGGGTAGTGTCGTGAGAATGAAGATCGCATAGTGGAGGGTTTTTCAGAACAATGAGAACTTAAGCTTATTTGTGTGTACTTCTCCATGGCCATGAAAGACCTAGTTATAGAGGATGGAGGAGGCCGTTCTCAAACATTCGGATTTTTTCTTAAAACTATGAGAAACGTGCTCCTGTAATCCTGGGATATCGGTGGTTATTTTCTACCGTTAGATAACGACACTTTCTCTCTATAAGAAGCCTCCATATTGTATTGATAAACATAGACTTTACGATAATGAGAGAATTATTTGAGGGCCCCATGGCCACGCATACGTGCCAACAATAATGGTAGCTTATACCTATGCGCAGCCAACGAAGCAAAATTATAGCCTCACATTTTGGTGTATGAAGTTCACGGAGGACAACCAACAAGTAATCATTGAAGAAGATTCATTGAATGTCATCAAGTGGTACAAAATCTCAGGAACTATACCATGACATTGGACTCAGATTTTGGATAGAATCTTGCTTAAACTTTAGGGTTGAAAAGTAATATTTTTTGGATAGAATCTTGCTTAAACTTTAGGGTTGAAAAGTAATATTTACTCATATCAATCGTGAGAGGAATGGAAAAGCATATTATTTGACCAAACAAAGCACGAAGAAACTGATGTCAATGTTGTTGGCCTTTCTGCCCTCCTCTTTTTTTTATCCCTCTCTTTTTTCCCTGTCATATTTTTTTTTTCCTTCTCCATTCCCTTTCCCTTCTTTTACTCTTCATATTTTCTCAATGAAATGCTGGTTAACTTAAAAAAAAACAAAGATTTGTCATACTAGTAGGAAAACAACACATACCACAAATAAGGGAAATCAGTATTTCCAAACTTACATGCTTAATTTTGCAATCTATTTAAAACATGCTAGCATGCCATCTCTGCATGTATGTTACATAACTTTATTCAAATGATGAGAGGCAAGAAGTCAAAAGCGGTGAGTCTAATAGCACGTTTAGACATTTTTTTGAAAATAGTTTAAAGTGAACAAAATTTCTCATGTGATTAGGTGTATACATATTTTCATACTAATTGTTCTCAATTGATGTGAAAATATGTATTGGGACCAATTGTTGTAAAAATACTTCTACATCTAGCTAGACGAATAAATTTTTTCATGTGAAAATATTTTCATACGGTGCTTTATTTGGAGAGTTTTCCATTTACACGTGCTTTATGGTGGTGGTAGAGCAAGAATTTAAAGCATATAAAGTGAATGAGTTAAAAATAATTATACTTAGTTGTGTCATTTCTTTCATTGAATTTGGACGTGGTTTTGTTTGAAATCAATATTGTAGTTGTGGTTATTTCTTATATGGTCAATGGTTTCAATCAATGCACCTTATGAACAATGATTATCACCTAATTATTATCTCAATTGCAGGAAAAGTTTAGATAGATGCTCTTTAGAGTGGATGATTATTTTTTACTTCAAGTAATTTTTTGCATTGGCTCGTGGTGAATTAACGTGAGGGATTGTATACAACAATAGCATTTATTTTTATAGAAATAATTATATAGGACCTTCTCCCACCTATGTGTGTAGGACCCCAAAGGATCACCACTAAATTTAGCATGGATTTATAGAAAAGTTAAATCCTATATCCATGTGATAACTTTTTAGAGATCCGTGTTAATTTTAACAGTGATCCTTTGGGATCCTATACACATTGGTGAAAAAAAACCCTATAGGATCAATACTCATACTTTTAATACGAGAAAAGAAAGTACTTATGATTATTGTACAAAAAAAAAAAAGGCAAAAAGGAAAAGAAAAAAAAAGTGAGCATTCGTAAATGTTGGGTAATATTATAACTCTCCACCAATTAAAGCTGTTGGAAGTTTACGAAATCAATACTGTCCAAAGTCGCAGAAATTCCCGGCGAATCAAAGGCCGGATATATAAAATGAAAAGCAAACCTATCTCCCGTGATGGAGAAGGAGAACTCCTTCAAGGGCTCCTCGTCAATTTCAGAAGAGAGACAGATTCAATGAGCCACCTCTGAATCTTGAAACTTCACGCTGTCTCTCTCTCTCTCTCGATCTGCAGCGAAAATGTACATGGCATATGGCTGGCCTCAGGTCATGCCTATTGAATCTGGCCTCTGCCCCACTTCTCTACGGATCGTCTATCTCAAGGTTCTCAATCGCCTCCTTCTTGTTGTCTCTCCTTCTCACCTCGAGTTATGGAGTTCGTCTCAGGTACCTCTAATTCGATTGCTGTTGATTAGTCTGGTTATCTATGTGCTGCGTGTTTTTTTTCGTTTTGTTTACTGAAGTGCTTGCATTTGGTTTTGGTATTTGGCATTTGGTGTTGGGGTCCAGCATAAAGTGAGATTGGGCAAGTACATACGAGATCTGAACTCAGTTCAGAGTGAGGGAGAGAATTTGCAGGCGATATGGAGTCCTGATGCCAAAATGATCGCTGTTCTTGTGAGTGTAAATTGAATTTTATTAGGTGTTAGTTAATTTGTCTAATGATTCGTATTAAGAAATGGGGGTAAATTAGTATGCTTGGGCTTTATGTTGGTCTTTCTCTTTAGTGAATTTGGTCCACTTGTCATGTTAATGTTCTTGCTCCTAGACCAATTTGCTCGAAGTTTGTATCGTTCTGTTCAGTTCTTTCTTGTTAGCATGAAATGTCATTGTTGAACGCAAAATCATGTTAACTTGCTTGCTTCTAGACCAGTTTGCTTGAAGTTTGAAACTTTGAATCATCCTTTCTTGTTAACATGTCATGTCATTGTTGAACACATAATTCATGACATCAGTCCATGTCCTCAGCGTGGCAAAGAAACACAAACTATCAAAAACTGAAGTAAATTGGCTATTATGACTTCAACACGGAATAAGGACTTTCAAAAAGATGTCATCCAAATTGCAAGGTATGCAGACATATAATTGCATTTGAAGGAGTAATACTTACACGAGTTTATAATGCAGAAAACTTATCCAAAAAAAAATAAAAATTGTATAGACAAAAATGACAGTGTGGCCTTAGAAAGTCAAGTAGCCTGTGATGAATCTAGTAATCTATAAGTACCTACATAACAACCCATGATGTAATAGTTCTATTTTATCTCTGGTGCACCCCCAATAACTAGCATCCCTAGTGTTTCCTTCTGATAACTACTAAGTTGTGGACTGCGTGATGTTTGTCACTTCCCATGAGATTACATATGGTAGTTTGAAATGGCATAGGGTGTTGCTAACATCATAAAGAATTTTGGGGAACAAAGGAGAAGTCAAAATGTTATGCCGGTGCAGTAGGGATTGCCAGTGCTATGTAGCTTGAGGGTTGTTTGTTCTTGTGTAGGTTGGGATTTGTCTTTAGTTTCCTTGATAAGAGAGGGGTATTTCCTCAATGTCATCATGTGGTTTCTGGGTACTTGCACCTTTGTTGGAAGTTCATGGCTATCAGGGAGGAGCTTGGGATTCATTTCTTTGTCTTCTTTTTGGGCGTCAACAAGCTGATGAACTGATATTTGCTTTATTGGGTTTCAACTTGCATAGGTTTTCTTCTAAGTTCTGGGCCTTGGCCTTAGTCGACCTTTGCACATGACTTATAATGCCTTCAGATTGTTTTGTCCATTCTTTCTTTGTATTCATATGTTTTTTTTTGTGGATGATGTCACAAATGTTTAATGAAAAGGAGAGTTGGGAAAGAGAAGCACGAAGGACTGGATTTAGCTTTTTGCCTTATTGAGTTCATGTTATTTGAATCGATTTCATGCTTCCGATTATATTCTCTCTTTCTACTTGCATGATCTTGCATAGATGATGTTGCAAACGTTTGAGCAAAAAGGGGAAACGGGAAAGAGAAGCACCGAGGAGGAAGGGATTAAACTTTTGCCTTGTGAATCACATTTTTTGGATCTTTCTCGTGCTGTCAATTGATCTCTGGATTTGTTGTCCTGAAGACTGTTTAGTACAGCTGAAAGTTCAGCAGACAACATCACACAAACCAGGGGCTACTGGAGCATCGGGTAAATATAGGTTACATGGACACTGCCTGACATTAGTGTTTTACTTAGTGAACAAAGGATAAGGAGATTTAGGCTCCATAAGTAAACTGATGATGATTCCTTAATGCAAGTTCATCATGAAACACACTTTGAGATCTATATCCTCCAAAAATTCTGCCAATTATCTCCTTTACTATCCTTGAATGACTTGAGGGAAGGGTTCTTCCGGGAAACACCCTCAGTATAGTAGCTAGAAACTTGTATATTGATATGTTTTATGTCACTTTTGCATGGTTTTATGAGAAATTTTGACTGCAAATCATTGTTAAGTAATTCCTCCATTGCAATCGGCATATATTTTTCCGTGGAATTGCTGACTATTGCAATCAGTGATACTCTAAGAGCATGATTTTATAATTTTGTTTAATTTCCTGGAAGCTAGTTGCCATGAACTAGGCAAATCCTTGGCATATGAAAAGTTTTCATAAGTGAACTTGGATCAAGTTTGATATCTTTTCGGTTTTCATTCTTTTGCTTTGTAAGCTGGTGTGTGGAACAGTTTTCAACCTGCGGCCTCCCTTATAGAAGTTAGATATCACTCCATGCAATTAAGGGATATAGGATTAGGATGTAGTTTTGTTTCTAATTTTCTTTGAATGATTTTGTTGCTGCTTAAACTATTTCATTTGATATCTGGTGACAATTTTCAATGTCGTTCTTGCCCCATTATTTGTTTTTCTAAATGTAGTAACATAAACAACTGGTATTTGCTGCATATACAACTGTCAATTTTTTTTGCTGTTTGTTGGATTTAGTTCTTCAGCTTCTTATGCCTTCTACCTTTGCTGCAGACAACCTCTTTCACTCTCCATATCTTCAGGGTACAGATTTCCGAGAAACAACTAATGCTTGGGGGGAATCAACCTTCTGGCCTGTCCCTTGCAACTATAAATCTAGTTTTCAGCGGGAGAGCTCCCTTTTTTGGCAAGAAATTGACAGTGTAATTAATTATTTCTGACTTTAATTTCCCATTTTGTTGTTCAGTAGATTAAGTGCCTTCACATTCTAATTTCTTCCTTTTAAAGTAATTTGTTGCTTTGAAAAGCAACGTGTATTGAAGGTCTTTAGGAATGCTAGTTAATTTCAACTCAGTTATCAGTCAAGCAAAAGAAGGAATTGCCAATGCTTTGTTTTTGTATCTTCCAGAAGCAACTTTGTGTGTGATAGCAGAAGCATCTGTCTTGGACTTTCAGATGGTGTTCTATATGTCACATCCTGGAAAGGAGAGGTAAATGTGAAGATTTTTGTGAAGTTATTTACTTTGATAATGTGTATCTATAATTTAATCCTGAAATATCATATTCATCTTGCAATTGTTTTTCTGGGAATTTTATCATATCTGAAGTGGTTTTTCTTCTTATCTTCCATCCAGTTTTCAGACACATTCAAACTTCATACCCATACTGTTGTTGCTCAAGACTCACATCAATTGCTGCAGAACGGTTTTTCCACTCCTGATGGGATTTCGCAGGTTTCAGCATCCAGTTTTCGTTCCTCCAGTGACTCTGCTATTGTTCAACTTGAGTTGTCATTGCTATTGAGGTTATTAGTTGTCATATGTTCTGATGGGCAAGTTGCACTATGTTCATTAAGTAAGAAGGGACTAAAGCAACCAGATTCCATTAAGGTCGAAAAGTGGTTAAGTCATTGTGATGCAGTTTGTGCTTCCATTGCTTCGGAACAGCAAATCCTAGCAATAGGTTGCAGAAGGGGAGCTGTTGAACTATATGACCTGGCAGATAGTGCATCACTGATGCGGACAGTTGCCTTGTATGATTGGGGGTAAGCCTGATCGAATTTCTTCAGTTTGAAATATTTGACTCAATGGCATGCTGTTGATGCTAACAGAAGTTCTGCTTCTCTCTCAAAATAATCGATATTAGTTGCAAGCTTTTTAGTATTAGATAAAATAAATTTATATTTTGCCTTCACATTAGATTTTTCTGCACGATGCATTCTCATTGAAACTCATTTATAAGTTGCTTGGAGAACGTAATGGAAGATCAATATGACTTATTTTCCTTAGAAGATGAGACTGTTTTGAGTGTTCATCAGTCATTACCTCACATTATCATGGACATGGCTGTCTAATTTCACGGCAATCAGGAATCTGTGACCAAAAACCACTTTGTTGGGATTAAGCCCTGAGCTTGATTTCTCATTCTTGGTTCAGGTTCTGGAGAGCCACGTTTCATACTAAATTTATAAATGCATGTCTTGCTATGATTTTGGATTGCATTGCAGCAAGGCATTTCAGACAAGCAAGCAACACCTACATGTTAGGAACGTAAGGGGAGCAATCCTAAAATTGTTTTCATCTAGAACAAAGGTTTGTTGTCCTCCAAAGGTGTTCTTATTCAATTAAGAGATTTGGCCTTGTTCATCTCGATTGACTCCTTTTAAGATTGACTTTGGAGTTGCTTATTGCTTGTTGAATGGTCTGATTGTTCAAACTCATGGATTTTACTGATCGTGTTGATACTAGTGGATTTTACCAATCACTTGACCAAAGCTTTCCAAAGATACAAGGGAGGATGCACTTGTTTCTATTTGCATAGATGTGCGTTGGAAACTTCGTGAAAAGCTTGGAGATGTCACTTTTGCAACTTTTCTTTTCTTTTTTATTTCTTATGAAAGGTGACATTGAATTAATAAAATATAATAGGGTGCCATTTGAAATTCTTGTTATTGCAAGTGATAGAAGGTCTCGCCCAAAATTCTCATAAAAAAAAGAGTTCTGCCTGCAACTCAACTTGAGCTCATCACAGAAGCGACCATCTTGCTGCCCCGAACTATACTAACAGCAGTCCATTTCTAGTGTCACAGCTTGTTTGCTGAATTGACGCATCTAACAATAGTGATCCTCTTTTGAGCAGTTTAAGCGTTTTAGCCTTCACATTGAGTGGCTTACATAGGAGCTATCAACCATGTAACCTTGATGTAATCTCTCACCTCTCCTTTAACCTTTGTGAATAGTAAATTGTATTTCTGACCACTACATCCTCAACACCTATCCTTGGAAATGGGAGCAATGTTACCTTTTTTTACTTGGTCAAAAGTATCATGTTTTTTGTCTTCAGAAATTAATTACTTTACTAAGCGAGTGCTAAAACTGTTCTGTTGCTTTCTTCTTTATTGTTCTTTTCAGCCAAAAGATGGAGGACAAGCAGCATTTTGTCTCTTGCTGTTTTACTTTCACATTTGGATCATTTAAACAGTCCAACTACAATTTTTCACTTTTAGACACTCGGCTCATTTCAAGAGTGCAGCAGTTTACAAAGGCTATGCCGTATCTCCTTTGTATTATGCAGTGTTTTAAAATAGTGTTTCAAAACCCAGATTGGTGGGTTATCATTTACCCATAGGTTCATGTCGAATTGCTGGATCGGCGATCCATATCAGATCTGGATTTGTCCAAATTTGTGATCTAGAAAATTTTTCAAAATAAATGAAATAAAATAAAAATTAAAATACAGTTTGTTTGGTGGGGATTTAGAGGGGACGTAAGAAAATATTAGTTAGGCTTTAAAAAAAAAAAGGATATATGAGGGAGTTTTAGGGGCAAACCGAGCCGGGACCCATACCATCCCAGAATTGGTTCTGCGCTAGCAGATTCCGATCTGGATCGGCGATCCAGATCGAAATTCGCTAAGTTTTGAAACATTGGTCTTAAAAAATGCTGATTTGGATTGGAATCAGCTGATCCGGATCGGTAGTAACCTACCTGGTTCTCTCCCAGTTGGAATCAGTATATGGGCTGGTTCCCACTGAATCATCCAGGTCCCCGATGGAACCTGTCGATTTTGTCAGGGGACTGGGTGATCTGGATGGTCTGGATCATCCGGTCTCTGCAATTCATACTTTTTTATTTCTCTTTTTTATTTTTTATTTTTTATTGACCAATTTTCATATGGGAGAATCGGTTGGATCACAGATTCAGATTGGCTATTGACTGATCCAAATTGGTTTCCAGGATGGCCAATTCACCAAGGCCGATTGGGCTTTAAAACACTACTTTCATGGGAATGATAAGTTATGTTTTCAATTGAAGATTACCAATACTGCAATTGCCTTATTAACTTTTTTCCCTATTATGATATGGGAGGTCAGTGGGTCACCCTACAACTTATGTTTGGGTTATATACTAGTTAACTTCTCTTGATGGCAGTTCCTGTGTTACTTGGTTATATACCCTCACCCCATGAATATTGTCTGGCTTTTGCGTTTCCATGCTAAGTTTTCATCTTCGCAATTGGGAGTCGTATTAGTTTCTTTAGGAATTATAGATTGTAGGCTAGGAAACCATTCTCTCCTTTTTGTTACCATTGTTACAATGTGTTATAGGGTTTTCTAGAATACACCTGTCTAATGCTTAGGCTAGGAAACCCTTCTCAAAATTTTTGACTATAAATACTCTTTGCCTTATAATTAATACTCTCATGCTACATTGATTAATGGTCAAGCTAGGAAACCCTTCTCAAATTTTTTGACTATAAATACCCTTTGCCTTATAATTAATACTCTCATGTTACATTGATTTTATATACAAGGAAACAATATTGAAAGTAATTTTAAAATTTAAATGAACTTTCCGTTCTTGTGATTTCGTCCTAATATCTAGTAAGAGGGTCAAGTTATTTTTAAAATTGACCATAATAACCCCCTGTAGAAATGGAAATAATAAAATTTAGTGGTACTTTTTTGAGTAGAAATTTTGCGAGTAGGGTTTTCTGACATCAGCATTAGAGTGGTGAATTGTGAATAAACCTTTTTCTTTATAGATATCATTTATTTGAATTGATAGAGTGGCTTATTAGAAATGGCAATCAGAGGTTTAATTGAAAGTTTATTCCTCCAGCTAGAGGGATGTAGAGTGTGCCATTCATAGTTTGTCAATGATATTATTGTCTTTGGCAACTGCTCTTTGGATGAGTACCTTTTCCCCTTATATGAATGCCAAATTTCGTCTAAGCTTCTACTGAGGATCATCTGATTTCCTTTTCAAAACTCTCCAAGAGGGAATGCATGTCTGATATTTATTTTCAAGAGATATATTGGCACGTCTTGATCAAAACCATCTCAGAACATCCATGCATTGTGACAAGTTTTCTTTTACTGGATCACAGATACATCCCACAAACAAATGGTTTATTTACGAATTGCAAGTGAGGTTATGGACTACTCCCTATACACGTATTCATTCTTATGTATGGCAATATGTTTAAGTATCTACTCCTAATTATTTTCTTACGCTTGTATATTCACGATACATACATGTAGAATACTAAAGATGAGATGCATGCCTTCTGATGTGGTGTGTAATAGTACTAGTTTATGGGAAAGCTTTCTATGTTCCCCCTACAACATAGAAGTTCTATCCTCCTACCATCCAGCCGTCCATTTTTTATCAAGAGAGGCACTCACCGTTTGATCTTAGATCCGACGTCTCAAAGCGTTTTATTTTTAGTTTTTTTAATACAATTTTTCTGAATATGAAATTTGGTACGTGCCATCTTCTCATTGGGGCGCACCTATAAAAAATATTAACAATAATTTTTCGATAAAAAATAATGACCAAAATAACCCCAATTCAGGGGTATTTTGGTCATTTTAGTTTATTAAAAATATTGTTTTTATATTTTTTGTTAGTGCGAATTTAATAGAGGAATGGACGTCCAAAATTTGGTGTCAAAATAGTTCATAGAAAAAAAATAAAAATTAAAATAGTGTAGAGACGTGACATTGTGATTGGGGCAATCTTAGCCCTCCATTAAAAAATGGACGGTTGGATAAGAGGGAGGATAGAACTTCTATGTTGCAGGGGGAACATAGAAAGCTTTCCCTTAGTTTATTATAGGCATAAGTAATACAAATAAAAAGGGAAGATTGGAAATTAGGTATTGGGAGATGTCCTTTTTTCTGGTTTGCATAAAGGATTATCGGAAGGGATTGGGGGGGGGGTTACTTCAAGATCAAAAGAATTCTTATGCACCTAAATGACAACCTTTTTTTTTTTAGGAAGGCCTAAAAAACTTTCATTGACTCATTCAGGGTTAAGTTGATTCTCCTCTTGCTTTGTGAACTTAAATAATGGATGAGAGTGTAATTGAAAATTAACATGAGTATCTGTTGAATGCGATTATTTGTTAATATGAATCAGGCTTGTGTCGGTATTCCTTTGAGACCATGATATTTTTCTGAGCAGGGGCTGCTTGTTAAACACAAAAAAAAAATGCTAAACTAGTTAGGATTTACTTGTATGCAGCTCTTCTTCTATATGTTCTTCCATTTCAAAGTCCACAAATGTTTAAGAGAGAGTGTAGGCTGCATGCCATGGGATATCTGTTATGTTTTTGCTATTCTACTGCAGTACCTTCTGAAACGGTTTGTTGTTCTGCTTTTAATCACCTTGTGGAATTTCTTGATGAAGTTGATTATGCTTGTCAAGTAGCTAGCAATTTCGGCTTGTTCTTGCTTATTTTTTTGGCTGTCAATTGTTAATTTTTGATTAAACAACGGGTACCTGTGAGGATTGCATTTGACTTCTTTTTAAACTATGTGGCAGCTATTCTGTGGAGGATACTGGTTCAGTGAATTGTTTAGCCTGGACTCCAGATAATTCTGCTTTTGCTGTTGGATGGAAATTCAGAGGTCTTACGGTGTGGTCCATATCTGGGTGTCGATTGATGTGCACTATTCGTCAGATTGGGATCAGCTCTGCTTCTTCTCCGATGGTTAAAGCAAACCAAGATTTTAAATGCGAGCCGATGGCAAATGGAGTTGCATTTGCACACTGGGATGAGCATGGATATAAACTTTATGCTGTTGAACAGAGGACAACAGATAGGATACTTGCATTTCCCTTTGGTAAATGCTGCCTTAATAGAGGCATCTGTGGCACTACATATGTTCGCCAAATTATTTATGGCGAAGACAAAGTCCTAGTTGTGCAATCAGAGGATACCGATGAACTTAAATTTTTGCATCTTAATCTTCCAGTTAAGTCTTTTATTTATTTATTTATTGTACGAGTTGATTCTGGTTTGCATCTTCTCAGTGTAATGGGGTGTCTTATTGACTTTTTGCCAGGGGAAAAGTCCTGAAAACATTTGTCTTTTTGGCAGGTATCTTATATTTCCCAGAATTGGCCAGTTTTACATGTAGTGGCTAGCAAAGATGGAATGTACTTGGCCATTGCAGGTTCACGGGGCCTGATCCTGTATGATTTGCGTTACAAAAAATGGCGTGTATTCGGCGATATTACGCAGGAGCAAATGATTCAATGCAAGGGCTTGCTATGGTTGGGGAAGATTGTTGTCGTTTGCAACTATAATGAGTCTTCTAATTCGTGAGTACATTCATTCTTGTGTAATATGTCTTTTCATATCCCTGATTGTCATTTTCTAGTGGAAATTGTTTCACTCTTTGTAGCATCTATTGCTTGTTATAAAATACAAATAGGATTTTGGGTTGCCTGAGATCTTACCAATCTTTTGCTTTGATATTCTTTTCAGGAGTAGCATGTATCTTCCTTTATAGGCTGATAGTTCACCCCTAAACCCTAATTTTTGATGGAGATCAAGAGCTGGGTGATTTGAAAATTTAATTAATTTATTTATTAATTCCATGGATATGGATGTTTTAGGAATTATAATGTGGAGTTACTCTCCAACCCTTGGTGTCTATTTTTTTTTTTTTATTTCTATCCACAGTACTATTTATGGCATTGTTCACAAGTTACTATTTTAGGGTTTCATGGGTTTATAAAAGGTGGGAGATCACATTATGGAATGCTTATATTGTTGGAATGATTATTATTTTATGAAAGAAGAAAGTTCTTCTCTTGGGTGGATTTACAACCATGATTTTTCTCTATCATTGCTGATTTTTACTTGTTTGAGGTTCAAGAAAAAATGGATTTAAGTTTCCAGCTTTCCTTCTGCATCAAGTAGAATTAGAGCTCTGTTCGAAGACCGTTAGAGATTGCAATGGCTGGTTGTAGATGTCTTAGTCGTATGGATGCCAATTTGATCCGATGCATAAGAAAATCAGCCAGTTGACGGAGAGGGTTACATAGCTGTTGCGCAAGCAAGATCAGCTACAATGTGCCCTATATAAAGAAGGATAGATCCAAATTGCGAGGGTTTTCTATGGAGATTGGCACGAAGTAGAGTCCAAGTTTGAGTGGGAATGGGCAGTTGATATGTCAAGTTACATAGATGGATTTGATGTGTGATGGCATTGACGGGAGTATAATTTTGAAGAGAACAAAGATCCAATTTTCAATTAAATTCAATATTTTCTGAATCAGTGGATGGTTCTATCTTTGATAGTGCTACTTTCTTTGATAGTGATCCTATTTTTTATAAAGAACCAGGTGATTCTATCTATGATGGTTATCCTATTTTTGATGAACCATTGATTGAAATGGATAACTTGGAGTTGCTGTCTTATGTCGAAGGACAAGTTGTAAGCAGTAGTGATGGTCGGTGCAGTGACAGTAATAACTGCAATAGGGGTCATGGTGAAGACGTAAAAGAGGACGCAACTAGAGGCAACAACCGTAAAGAGCCTTTTTCTCTCACCAATACTGGGGCTGACCTTTCCTATTTCCAATTAAAGGATTCCAGCCCACAAAGGCAGGATACTATAGCTGGGTAGACCAAAATCCTCAACAACTTGTTTAAGGATATTTTGATCTGGCCTATAGCCTATTGGTCCCAGGATCAAGGACGAATGTCAATGTGCAATATTTGGGTTGAGAGAAATCTTATATTTAGAGGAAGTTTCATATTAACCCATTTCAAAACTTGAGGGCGAGTTTTCTCCAACTAAGGGAGAATGATGAAGATCAAGAGTTGGGTGATTCAAAAATTTAATTTTATTATTTTTTTAATTTCCTGGATGTGGGGGTACCTTTTATTTTTTCTTGTTAGGGTTAATTTTTTTAGGAATATAATGTGGGGTTAATCTCCAACACTTGCTTTCTATTTTTTACTATTCATGGTATGGTTCATGGGTTACTATTCAAGAATTTTAGTTTTGTTTAGGGGTATTTTAGATTCTTAAATTGTTTACTTGGATCTCAAATTAATTTTTGGATTTTTTAGGCTTATAAAAGGTAAGATGTCACATTATGGGATGCTTACTTTTTTGGTATGGAATTTATTTGTTGAAAGGGAAAAGTTCTTCTTCTCTTAACTTGATTTACATCCATGCTTTTTCTCCATTATTGTTAATTTTTACTTATTTGAAGTTTGGGGAAAAGTTGGATTTAATTTTCCACGTTTCCTTCACACATCAATTTCTTTGATTATTTGATTATTCATTTAGGTCTTCTGTTATAACTGGCCTTTTTTCGGAAGGCCATTTATGTATCTCACTCACTCTTTTTAGGGGTGGCTTTCTTTACTAACAGAAAGATTAGGCCTTAGGGCCTCTTGAAACTGGCTTACCACCTTGAGCGGAGAGTGGGAAGCTCGTAAAAATAGATGGCATTCAAAACAATCCCCACTTGATAGAGTCCTCTTACATTTTGAATAAAAGACTTTGAGAGAGGGGCTTGGTTCATGGCTCTTATTGTGCAATGTTTCTTTTACATGGATCATTAGTGCCTGGCTGTACTTCACTCAGTCTGGGACTGGCTCCTATCAGGACAAACTTCTTGTACTCTTCCTCTTAGTTCCCCTGGCAGTTGCTTTTATTTCAGCCTTTGTTTCTTCTAGAACTGTCTTACCTAAAGTGACATTTAAAGGTTCTCACACAGGAGTTACTTGGATTCAATTTGGAATTTGTTAAAATCTGTTATCCCATTCCAGACAGGTGCTTTGGACTGCAATGACTTTGCCCTCAGCATTTCTATTCAGTGCTGAAATAAAGATCTGGTCAGAAGAATCAGTGAACTGTATTGGTCATTTTCATTCTTTTGTGGATTCACAGCCATCTCCTTGATCACAAGCATGCCTATGTTTAACATGATATGCCAAAGAGTAGTACATAGCCTTAGACTATACCAAGTACTCCATCTCTCCTTCAAAAGTTTGGCATGGATACCAACTCTGTCCATCTTGCGTAATTTATGATATTTTATAGTACTTTGCGAGGACCTTTGCATGCAAATAAGTTGGATAATTTTTTGATCTTGTATGTGGAGTATGAATTTGCTGACAACTTCTCTTAAAATATGGCAACTCTCTACCTGTTTGGTTGTGTCAAAAATATTTTATTAGAGGCCATGTACTTGAAAATATGGTTATCACAATACTTGACATGGGAGGTTCAACTCTATATCCTACTTCCATCATAGATATCTTCATCTCAAGTTGTTCGCAGATGTTGTGAGCTGTTGCCTTTACTTTCACTCTACTGGATTTTTCTGCTACAAATTGTTGCTTGTTTTATCCTTGTTAAAGGATTGCCCCTAATGACAACACAAGAACTAGTATGGATCAGCAGGTGAACCATCTCAATTGGCATTGGGAAAATATCTTATATGTAAATGTGGCCATGGATACAAAGGAGAATCCCTATCCTTGGATAGGACCAAAAATCTGTGAACTACCTTTGATTGGGGTCCTCTTGGAATTGTAAGTGTACTCACCTGTTCTCCAACTTATGCGGTTCAGTGAACTGGATGAGTTTGCTTTCTAATCTTTGATAGGAACTTGGTTCCTCAAAATTTCTTCTGGGTCTAGTAAATGGTTTAGCTCAATCGGAAATCTGCTAGTTTGGCCCCAACTTCCCTATATTTTTAGCATGTTCTATGTATACCATCTATATTTTCATCATGATGGAAATCCCTTTTTGAGGGTGTGTCACTCCAACGCATCAGGATGGACTTTATTGCCCTTTTCAACTGAGGGATCCAGCATGAACTTTATGTGCTGAACCATTTGCAACTATAGGGTTGAATGCCTTGGGTGTTCTCTTTCCACGATTGACTGGTTTAGGGCTCATTTGTATTCTGCCATAAACCATGGATTGGCCCATGAAGGTGGTGCTTTTGGTGATGGTGCATTCATGGTTGGAGTGGTTTCTTTGTGTGCCATTCCGTATCCCAGGTAGGTGTAGTCCCACCCCCAAAATGCTGCCACTTTGTGAGTGAGATGAAATCTGAACTACCAGTTTTCGTTGAATCCACAAATTGGCAGCTTCTATTGGTTCTCTGATGGTATGTTGACCCAAACATGTATCATTACCCAAACTTGCAGGTTAGAATTTTCTCCCAGTGCATTGTTTTGAGGATTACTTTGTGCAGAGCTGTAACTGGGTGGTGTAGTGTCCCTTTATTAGAAAAATATGGGAGACATTGAAAAGGAGGAGTTATGGTTCTTGTCTTCATTTAGGGTAGTTAGGGCTAAAGCTGCTGGTTCTGGATCGTTAAGTAAGATTTCACTAGGCATTCTTGATAAGAGACTCTTGGAGTGGGAAGGGTGTCTCCTTGCTTTTCAAGATCTTTCCCTAGAGCTGCATCAGGGGAAGGAGGTGGAACTCCGTTCGGGGTTGGTTTAGTGTATTCAAGCCCACCATGCATGCTTTTCCTTTTTTGGTTCCTATTCTTGACATGCATTTTGCTTCATTTGCTAATGTAGCAGCGGCTGTCAGGTCCAAATGCTGTTTCTTGAATTGGAAGGTAGTGGGGAATGTCGGCCGTGTTCTTTAAAATTGGCCCCTGCGATTGTAGGATTTGGGATTTTTTGCTTTTTGCTGGTAGTGCTTGGGTAATTTTTTGTTCTATTTGTTTGTAGAATTTGGGATTTCTCCCTGGACTGGAATTTCATGGAGTTTGATTCTTTTTATTTTTAGACATATAAAAAGAAGCTGAAGGCCTTTGTAATAGTGAAGGGGAATATAAATATGACATTCGTTGCAAACTGTTCGTATTACTTAGTTACCTCCTATGCAAAATGTCCCTTCCCATATAAATACATCCTTTTTTTCTTATTGAACTATATAAGCTATTATATATTTTCGATTTTCCCTCAATATTATTTGGGAATAACATGGTCACATTTTCAAAGATGCACAGTCATGAATATGACTACACTTGAAATTCTGTTGCCTTTTCAATTACATCACTGAATATTCTGTTTTTTCCTGTTTGCTGTGCTTGAAGTTCCACTAGGCCATTGTTCTTATTTATAATTTGTTAATGCCTTCAGTTTATTTAGTATATTCTGTAGGTTTGAATGCATGGTTTTATTCTTTTGCAGGTATGAGTTGCTCTTTTATCCAAGGTATCATCTTGATCAGAGCTCTTTGCTTTGTCGCAAATCATTGCTGGGCATGCCTGTCGTTATGGATGTTTGTGATGACTATGTACTTGTCACATATCGTCCCTTTGATGTTCATGTTTTTCATGCAAAGCTCTTGGGCGAGTTATCACCTTCTATGAATCCTGTTTTACAGGTAGGCATGGAGAATGTCATTTGCATTTTCCTTTTACAAGTTATGTTTCTAGGTAAATTTCTTTGAAAGATATATAGTTTTATATTACTAAATCTCTAGTTCTTAATTTTTCGAATGACATGCATGCTGCTTGGGATTTTTTGTAAAGTAATTTAGTGACAAACAGCTTTCTACAGTCCGAGAGCTTTCCATCATGACAGCAAAGAAACATCCTGCTGCAATGCGTTTTATTCCTGATCCTCTGTTAAAAGACAGTATAACAAACAAGAACCAGTCATCTCCTTCAGATCCCTTGTACAGGCAACCCACAAGGTAGCCCTATCTGCATTACCACTGTCTTTTCTCCTAATTACTCCCTTCATCACTCTGTCTGAAATATTGAGTTGAAATTAGTTCATTGTGACCTGATTGCGATCTTAGGTGTTTGATTTTGCGCACAAATGGGGAACTTTCTTTGCTAGATTTGGATGATGGTAGTGAGCGTGAGCTTACCAATTCTGTTGAACTTTTCTGGGTTACTTGCGGACAATCAGAGGAGAAAGCAAATCTTATTGAAGAAGTTTCTTGGTTGGATTATGGTCACCGTGGAATGCAGGTAATAGATGTATTAATTGTGCTGTTTTTTCTCGTTTTCTTATACTGCAATTGGTATAAGAAGATTATGTCTATCACTCATGGTCTTTGATTTTGTATTATATATAGATTGTATGTGTCACTCGTAGCTTTTTATTTATCTGATATACTTTCGATTTGAAAGCTATTGTTAACAGGTCTGGTATCCTTCTCCTGGAGTTGACCCTTTCCAACAGGAGGATTTTTTGCAGGTATTATTTTTTATACTGGAATTGCTGAGTTCTACAGTTGTCTATGACGTTCTCCTTACCATTCTGTTTCTTAGTAATTTCACTTGTAATTTGAATGTTTTGTCTTTGAGGTTTTGGTTTTTTATTAACTTTTATTTGCTAAATATTAGAGATATATGATTCTGTTGAAATGCGCAAGAGCTGCTCTCATTCCCAATGTGTTTTTTTTTTTTGGAGTGTAACAGTTCCGGTTAGACTGGTACTTTCTCAAGTCATGATGTTGTAACTGGGTGTGGTTTTCTATAAAGTTGCAACTTTAAACAATGCAATTAAGGCGCATCTCTAAATTTTATCATAACATGTAATATTGGTGTAAAGAATTCTTACGATTATCTAAAAATCTATTTTTATATGTAATTATAAAATTTTAAACTAAATAGTTAAAATCAAGTAGATCTATAAGCATATGAAAATCTTGAAAATGGACGGTATAGATAATGCGTTGCAAGATGCACTATATTTTTGGGGCTCAAAATATATATTTCTTTTCATATTCATCCATATCGATGTCAAGATGATCAATTAGAGGATTTTTCACTGTTAAAACAGCCTTTCCCAATAGATTTTTGAGGTGCATCTTTACTTTTATATTTTAAGGTTGCAACCTTATATAAACTTTTTCCTTTTATTAACTTTTATTTGCTAAAGATTAGAGATATATGATTCTGTTGAAATGCTCAAGAGCTGCTCTCATTCGTCAATCTATTTTTTTTTTTTTTGAGTGTAAAAGGGTTTGGCAATTCGAGTTAGACTGGAAAATTCTCCAGTCATGACGTTGTAACTGGGAAGTACTTGCCTCTATCTGTTGAATCCCTGTCTGCATCCAGCTGTTGATGGCCAGACGGGTGGACTTGATCAATTACGAGTGGGCTTAACAATCCACACAGGCACACAAAGCATGTGTACACGCATGGACACACTTAGAGATATGGCCCTTGGATAGACCAAAGATGTGAATTTTTTTTTGAAAAAAAAAAGAAGCCCTGGAGACTGTTTTTGAGGACAGAGAATGCAGTGAATATGGATTGTTCATGTTCACATGCGTTTTAGAATGGTATTACATTGAGGCCTCAAGGGGGTATGTTTACCCCCAAATTTTGTCAATTGCCTCATCATCAGCAGGTAAAAAATTTAGAATAAAAAGAAAAATGAATTTGAGTTCTCTAAGACCCCGATTTGACTGTCCGAAAGATGAATGGGATGTGGTTGCTGTTGGGGCGGTTTCTTTCTCATGCACTTCTAGGGTGTGTATCAATTTATTGATTTCTTTATTTACGAGGCTTGGTGGGTGTTGAGCGAGGGTTTACGATGTAGCTGTATGCCCTTGGGCAAATGTCCCTTCTCTCTCTCTCTTTCTCGATATATGATTTGGTGATCTCCCTAAGAGCACCAAACTTGCGGGTACACAACGCACACATATGAAAAAACTTTATGTAAGGTTGAAACTTGATATTCTACAATTAAGGTGCACCTCAAAAATGCATCGTAAGAGGCAATTTTGACATTGGATCATGTCGACATCAAGATTCATGGATAAGAAAAAAAAAGAGGTTTTAAGTTCCAAAAGTACTACATCTTGCAATGCATTATCTGGACCGTCAATGGTCAGAGATCAGTGGCATTAGGAACTGCTTTGGACTTTCAAATTAAATCTTATTTGGAGGGGATTTGGAACTGAGTAAAACCTTCACCTTACAATAGAGTATGATTAGAATAGAAAGGATGCAAAGAAGGGTAAAAAAATGTAGGAGCCTAAGTGTTTCAGAGTTGGTTGCGGATGTTCAAGTTTGTTATCTTGTAAAGAATCATAGAACTTATAGAACTTAATGTGATCTTCCCATTTGAAAAGGTGGAGCCTAAACTGTGATTTCATTATGATGTTTCTGGTATTGTGATTGTTAACAAATGGCGGATGATAGAAGTGCTGTAGTTACTTGAAATATTGTAAAGTGACTGAAAAAAAGTAAATAAAAAAAATATGAGCTCCTGATTGTCGGACCATTTATTTTAGACTTGACGCCCGTAGGGACTCAGCAGGTCCTGAACTTACTCGTATCCAGTCCACTTAGTCAAGTGTCGATAAGATTCCGTTGACTCTCTTGAAAAATTAATAGAGGATAACAAAACTTTAGCAATTCTTCTTCTAAACACTGAGACTCTCCCAAGCAAGTTGACTCGTTGAGTTTTGAAACAATGGATAGGTCTCTTTGAGTTTTAAAACAATGGTTATGACCTAACTCCTCTGTTGTCTAATAATTGGGACCAGTGTATTTGATTGGACCTACTGCAGTGTTTTCTCTCCAACAACATAACCGATGGACTGAAGTAAAAACCATGGTTTCTGGTCTTAAATCTTTAGTAAAAAATAAAATTAGCTATTGATGGCAATTCCTTTGCCTTGAGGTATCTACATTGCACATGTCTGAATGGTTTGATTCAGACCTATTGAAAAGGTCTCCAACCATGTCTTATATTTGAATTGCAATAGGTTGTTCCTTCCGCTTTTGCTGCCGGTGCGTGGTGGCTGGGGGATGAGTGGTGGGCGACGTGCTTTGACCTGCTTGTGTTTTCATTATGATGCACAAGTATTTATGTCAGCTGATGGCTGACCTGCTGATTCTGCTACATGTAGGGGTAGGTGTAACCCTCACTTCATTCAAATCGCTGATACATAATACTGGTATTTTCAACATCCTTGCATCCTCTGGATCATTCTCATGATTCGTTCAGCACCATCTGCGGAACTTTCTTGCACGAGGCATCTGCACTGGTTCGTAGACAATGCCCATGAGAAGGTCATACCTCAAATTGATGTGCCAGTGCCCTCTGCTAGTGTGCATGGTTTCTGTTTTACTGGCAATTGGAGGATCAGATAAACTATCTACAAGCAAATCATCACATGGATATTACAAATCTGGGATTGAATTGCTTTATTCTGGCTCATGTTCATTTGCATTATAAATCCAAATATACCTAGTCATTTCCATGGAAGCCTGATTTGGAAGCCATACTCACTGAACAATATCAGTTGGATCCAATAAAGAAGGCCTGATACTTGTTGCTTGTTCCACTTTATTTAGCAGTGGTGTAGTTGACTTGTATTCCAAAAGGTGGTTCGGTAGGCTATTTGTGACCTGAAGGAAATATTATCTGCGATATATTTGTTTTTGCTTCCATTTACCACTTAAAATTTAAAAGAAAGGAGAATTTTTTTCTCATTTGTGTTATTTTTGTTTGTTAGTTCTTGTATTGCTTTAGATAAACTAGGTGACTCAAATAGTTACTGTATATTTTTTTCCTTTGTTATCCTAGACGTCTTACATGCTTGAACCCTCCCATGTATTTTCTGGGTTGATTTTTGCATGGTTCGCTGTGACACTGACACCTGCTTGCAATTACTGAAGTTTCAGTCACTGCTTATGCCTTTTTGAGATTCAGCCAAAGGAATTTACTTGAGGAGTTTTATCTTTATTATTCATGTGGCTCGGAATTTAGGTTCTGCTTAGGACTCTATGATGTTGCACATTAAAAAATTGCATGTCCTCTCCTTATTTTGCTTGTGGTTAGGTGTGTTTTAGCTTTTATTGTAATGAAAAAATTTGAACATGATCATGATACATTAATTGGATAACACTGGCAGAAATTTAAGGAATCCTTGTATCAAGGTAATGGGGGATGACATATATGTGTAGTCTCTCTCTCTCTCTCTAAGAGTATGCCTTTTTTGTGCCACTTGATTAGTTATTTGTAGTACATGACTTGACTGGATATGATTTAACTTTATTCAGAAAGGCCACATGTTTGGATCACATGTTTTTGATATGCATAAATTGGCTTAAAAGATATTTTCCTTCTAGCTTTTCCATCTATCTACACTTTATTTAGAAGGGCCCCATGTTTGATAGACCTTGTAAATAGGTTGGTCAGACCAACCAGTCGGGTCCAGGTCCTGAAGTATGGCCCAGATAGTCGAATCGGGTTGAGGCTGGGTCCAGCCTAGATCCAATCAGTCAGGCTGGGTCCACCCTAGACCCAACCAAGTGTGTGTGTAAGCACGTGTATGTGTGCGCGCGCACCACATGTGCTTACATGCGTGTGTACACTGTATTTTGACCTGGACCGGGTCCAATCAACCTGGAATCAACAGGGTCCGGTTCGGTCCAGTCCGGCCCTTAGACATTGTCGAGTCAGGTCCTGGTGGGTCCTATCATCTATTTACACCACTAACATTTAGTTCATGTTTAGGCTTTCTACCTGTGGTATATTAACAAGCAATATTTGGAGTCTACATATTTCTTCTTTCTTTTCTTTTCACGAGATCCATAATCAGACTGTAATTGGGAACTTTGCCTTTTGGGCTTATTGGTAGATTTCGTTGATTGGCTTCAAACACAGAATCTTGCCTTGTGTGTCCTTCATTTTTCTTAATATCAATGCATTTTTTTTTTTTTAATTTTCATTTGTGCATCTTTTGATAAGTTAACCAGCTTATTAGTCTAGTTTATTGATTTGTTGACTTTTTTATTTTTATTTTGTGTAGTTGGATCCAGAGTTAGAATTTGATCGGGAAGTTTACCCTCTAGGGCTTCTTCCTAATGCTGGAGTTGTCGTTGGTGTCTCCCAAAGAATGTCTTTTTCAGCATGCTCGGAATTTCCTTGCTTTGAGCCTACTCCTCAAGCTCAGACAATTTTGCATTGTTTACTGCGACATCTTCTTCAGGTAATGTCCAAGAATCCTATCCTTCTTATGAAAAAGTTTATAGTTTTTCTCTAGTGGCATTCTGGATACAATAGGAGCGGCTATTGTCAGAGATTGCATGAAAGGAAATTGTATCTTGATTTCTGCTTTGTTAACAGATGATTATGCAGCTGCATCGAATTGGTGTAGCCCTTGTCACACTGCATAGGGCCACCAATATGTGCATAGAATGTGCATCGACCTTGGTGGCACATAGCCACCAAGCTGGGGTAAAAACATGTCATCCCCCCCAAAACAGTGGGGAAGACTCCTTTTTTTTTTGGCTTGGGGTATTATCGAGTTATTGTGGGTTTCAACTTTAAAGGATGTTAAATTCAGAAATTGACTGATTGAAATTGATTTCTAATTTCTTTTAATTTATCATACCATGCTTGCTTTCTTAAGTGTTTGGTATGTTGACATATTCTTTTTTGTTCTATTGAATTTCATGAGTGGATTGGATCATTTTATGGTACATGTTAATTATATTAGACAATAGATAGATAGATAGATAGATAGATAGTGGAGTCTAAATGTCTTTGTTACTCTCTATTGGCAACTCAGATAGCCTATGTTAGGGGTAAGTGCTAAATTAAAGTGTGTGCCATCTCGTAATCATATATTCATGTTATTCTTTGTATTTTTACAGCTTTCTTAACTTCATAAATTTTTATATTTATTGCTCACATCGGAAGTGATACATCTGCATCACATCGGAAGTGATACATCTGCATTGAACACCCTAGGGCCTTGCACTACATCCCACATTTGTTAACCTTGTTATGAGAGCATTGCTAAAAAGTAAAATTAGTAGATGATAGGTCTACTGCATAAATGTCGGTAGTTTTTGGTGAGGGTGAAGTGCCATTTGTATATATTGACTTCTATAGGATATATCAATAGTTTGTGAAATAATGATTGACTTCCCAAAATGCAGTGGGACTGTGTTGCTTCAATCTTACGGAAATCCATTACCACCTTTCGGTATCCCATGATCTGCTTTGTAGTAACTAGTTTATGCAATGGACTGTTTTCTGCTTCCCGACATTGAGACACACTGCTGAGTATTCTATTTGTTCGCTGCCCTTTCAGATAAGCAGGAAACTGTTTGTATATCCATATGGGGTGTACTATTATTCTTTATTGTGTTGTTGGTGGGCTGGCCATGTGCAGTGCAGACCCGATACAACGTCGCTTAGGAGGTATAATTTTGGTTCAAGTGGAAGGCTCTAAAAGGGTAAGGGAAGGCTTAAAAGGACATGGATGGAAATAGCGAGAAAGGATATGGAGACTTATGGTACTGAGGGTATGACCCTTGATAGAGCAGAATGGTGGAATATGATTCGTATAGCTGACCCCAAATAGTTGGAATAAGGCTCTGATGATGATGATGAGAGTGTTGGTGGGATTTATTTGAGGTTTTTGGAGAGCAGTGGGGCTCAAGCAGCGATCATCATTTTTTGAGTTAATTGGTTGTTCATAATTCAGTACCATTCGTTGCAGCATGGGTCATTGGAATTCTTAAGTATGTTCATGATTAAGGGCATCCATTATAGGCTGGATTTCTTTTTGGAGTGTTGTGTTCTTAGGGAAAGAGCATGGTAGACTTTGTTGCTGGTAGTTGATTGCATGCTTGCTTTGATCTACTTCCTTTTAGGGATACTTGTTGCATTTATCCTCGAGGGCACAATTATGGATAATGCTATTGTTTTCGAACTGCAGGTTTGGGTCAAGTCTAATGATGACATGATTTTATTCTTAGTTAGATCGTTGGAGAGGTAGTTTGTTAGTTGGTCACAATTTTTCTTAATATGGCAAGTACCTAGCAAGGGTTATTGTTGAACCAAGGTGCAGTTTTAGAAGTTTGGTGCTCTCAAGTGAAAGTGTGATTTAGGAATAATTTTGGAGTTGTGCACGTCAAGCAAGTGCATGTACAGCAGACTCTGTCTCTTGAGTATTCAATCTAGGTGGTGTAAGCAGACAAAATTTTATGTTTGTTTTTTGATCAATATGGAACTTCCTGAACAAAGTACCTGATACCAAAGTTGAGGACACATAGGACCACATAACTCTCACAATTACCTTTAAACACCCCTATTTGTAAATTTCTCCAACTGAGGGTTCCCTTTCCTTGGAATATGAAATTTATAAATTACATGAAATGTGGATAATAAATATGATCTCTTCGTAAAATTTCTGGTCAATTGCCATGAAAGAGGTTGTCCTCTCTTAATCTATCTCCTAACATTTTAGAATCATCTTCAACAGTCATGGGTTTCTAATACCTCCCAATTTCCACTAACAATGGTTTGGTGTTCGCTGTTCATTTTCTTCATTATGTACAGTTCCACTAAGACTCATGGGATGTGGATTTCCTTCAATGCATCCTTCAAAATCATCCTTTAAGATACCCAATGGTGGTGAATCCAGTCAATTGCCAATATAACGTTAGATTTTGAAAGCAATCATAGATTGTCTTCAGCCATGGTTAATGATACAGTGGCTTTTTTAATTTTAAGCTTTTAATTTTACTATTTTAAGATTTTAGATATACGTTTGCTTTTTTTTTTTTTAGGGTTCTTCTTGTCTTTTTTAGTTGTAGGGATTTGAGGGGTAAACTTGGAAGTTTTTTATTTATTTAAAAGATGGATATGGATAGGAATTAGTGTGGTTGGGTTGGTTGGAATATGTTAGACTTGTTTTTAAGAGATAAGGGAGGGATAGAGTTTAGTTTGTTAATTTTTTTATTTTTTATTTTTTTAATAATCTATTTAAAAGGAAAATGGTCCTTCTGTGTAAAGAGAGTAATTGGAGAGTAAAAGACGAGTTTGATAGTGTGAAAGGATCTTGGGGTGGACTCCCTTGTAGATCCAGAGAGGGTATAATCTCTCAAACCTTTATTTTCATTTTTTTTCTGGTTTATTATTATTTTTTCTTCATTAGTTGGTATTAGAGCCTTGATATCTTTGCTGATCACAAACAACTTCTTATCTAGTTATGGAGTGCATAGATCATATATTTGAGCGATTAGATCAAACATTTGAAAGACTCAAATAATATTTGATAGAAAGTATTGGCAAAGTAATACAATAAAGTCTTCAAGATCTATTTAGTAGATTGCAGTGAGAGAAACAAGAATATGAAGTGGTAGATCTCGATGCAAAAGACGATGTTGATAGCCTAAATGTGCAAGAAATTTCGAAAATCAATTTTGAAGAAAAATATACGTGTGTTGCAGCCTGTCAAATATCACCCTGTGAGCCTGAAGGAGAAATCAATATTCTGTTTGGTATATTCCAGAGCTCAGTGAAAAGATCTTGATATTTTTTTTCTTCAAATAAACAATTGATCCAACATGATTTGTAGTGTAAATCTGAGACATCGAACTTTGAAATACCAAATTAAATGTTGATTTCTCCTTTTGGCTCATTGGATGATATTTCACAAGCTGCAACACGTATATTTTTCTTCAAAATTGATTTTCAAAATTTCTTACACATTTGGGTTTTCGTCATCGTCTTTTGCATCGAGATCTTCCTTTTCATATTCTTGTTCCTCTTGTTGCAATCTACTAAATAGATGTTGTAGACTTTGTTGTATTACTTTGCCAATACGTTCTATCAAGTCGAATTTTCTTTCCCTTTGGTTGAGCAAACTATATTGGAAGTATCAGATATTTTTTTTGATAATGTTAGAACTATTAGATGTTGATAAGAAGTTTATCTAATACAAGAATTATTATAGGTTATTCAGGCTTTTGATAGGACTTGAATTAGAATTTTATTAAACTTTTACCTGAGCAGCGACTTCGTTCTCCATCCCACGTTGACTTCTTTAGTGGATCTCTTGGATTTTCTAACAAATAGACAAGACTGACCTCTTTAGTGTTTCATTTACCTGAAAAGGGATGTGCTCATACACATGTGGTTGGTCATCACTGTAGGCATAGTAGAGCTCTATCATCTGTTCATATATCTATTGTAATTCACCAAAACTTTGACTTTTTGATTGTAGAGCTGGACTAAAGAAAGCAGGTAAAGGTCCACTACCATATTATGCATTTCTTGGGTTCACCCTTTTTGATTTGCTTGAGATAGGACACTATTTTCATATTTCAAGATGAAGTTGGATATATACTTCCTGTAGTGAGATGATTAAATTTAAATTGCAAACTTAGAATCAAGAGAGCGGGATTGCCGTGATATCTCCAAATCTCTAGAATGATTACAGCACTTGTTGTTTCTAGATCGCAACAAATCAATCATTCATGACACGATGAATCACATTTTTTACATTGTTTCTTGACTATCTTGGTGTTCTTTCTACTTATCGACCACGCTTTAGATGGTCTTATTACCCTTGATGTGATCTCATTGAGAGGCAATTTTCTAGTAGCGAACACGCTCTTTCCCATTGTTAGTTTGAGAGGGACCATGGATTATACATATGAAGATTAGGATTATCCTGTTTGTGCATCCAAGGACTTTGTGTGGAACCGTGTAGCATATACGTCTTGGTCATTTTTGTTAGGGTATCAAAGTCATTTGATACTATGGAATTTGTATTGAAGTTTAGAGATTGATTGTCTTTTCTCAGCACATCATTTGTTTAACAGAGCTCAAATCTTTTCTTCTTTTTTTTTCTTTTTTTGAAGTATCACGATTTTGGGAAAGAAAACTAATTACAGTAGTTGTTTTAGAAATAACTGACAAGCATAAACCTCAAGTATGACGCTATCCCAATGTTGTAGGAGATCCCAATTACTTGAAAGACACTAGCAATATTGGCAATGTTTTGAAAATACTCTTCAACAATAGCATCCCCGTGTGAAAAATCCTTCCAAAAGCATAATCTCTCTCTTATCCACATCAAAATAAAGACCATCTTGACAGTTCTCACACATTTCAAAATCATCACGAGGGTATTAATGGACCTCCCTGACTTTTCCCTTTACATGCCATTCTCTATCATCTGCACCTTGTTTTTTAATGTTATTCGAGCTCATGCCTGCCAAGTAAAGAGACCATCTAATCACTGTGGCATTTTTACGTTCTTTCAGATTCCTCCCAAACTTCTAGCATGACTTTGATCTACAAATGACCTCCGTATTAATGTTCCTTTTTCACAGTCTTTTTCTCGCATTCTCTTGAAGAAGACAAAGGCGAAATTCATTTATTTGAAACTGTAGGTACCTTTATTGGACCCATGGAATTTTATTTTTGAGTTTATGGGATATCTATTGTTTTTCAATGATTAAGCTGGTGTTCGATATATTTGCAATTTTTTTTTTTTTTTTGTATATTATAGAAATGTGGGTGCTGCATGGTATTGGAAGAGCTTCTGGCCTTGTTAAGTTCTTTATCCTTGCGTTTCTATCATAACTTTTAGATATTCTCTATTTATGGTACGTGGCATTCACTTGGTTCTTCAAAAGTGCCGAGATACGTGAGGAGCCAAAATTGGCGCTCTGGTACTATGACCTAGTACTTAATGCCTGAATTTTATGTCATAATGTATTCCATTTATAAACACATAATTTTGGCTTTAGAAAGTTTCAGGAATCTTTTCATAACTTATCTTCCTGATGATACCAGTATATCTTCTGTATGTTAGTTATTGACTCACTTCGTTCTTATTTTCCAGAGGGACAAGAGTGGGGAAGCTTTGCAATTGGCACGTTTATCAGCTGAGAAACCTCATTTTTCTCATTGTTTGGAGTGGCTTCTATTCACTGTCTTTGATGCTGAAATATCCAGGTTACAATTGTTCTATTTTGAACCATGTAAAATGGTTTTTTTTGAAGAAGATTCACGAGTACTAAATGAGATCGTGATTTTAATCATTAAAATGGTTGCATATTGAGTCTTTAGAAGGTTTCATGTTTTGGCTACTACTACATCTATTTTTCAAGGTATGTCTAGGTTAGCTTAGTCTTAGTTCACTGACACCCATGGTGAATTGGGTTTACTTACTTTTACTCTTATTTTGTGCTTTTATGATTGAAGCCATTTATCTATCATTTAGCATATAGGCTGCCAGTGCCATTCTAATTTCAGGGTGGCCTTATTTCTTTAGTAGAGAGCATACCATTTTTCTCCTTTATTTAACCTGTCAACTCTGCCATGGCCAGTCCCAAGCCGGTCATGCCAGTCCCAAGCTCGGATAAAGGAGGAGGGTTGTGTTAGATAGGTAGCCAGCGTAAAACTTTACATGCTTTCATGAATCCTGAACCTATTATCATGATCATCATCGAAGTCTGTTCCAAACTATTTGGGGTCGGCTATTCATGATTCGTGGAAAGTTTTGGCAAAGTTTTACGTTTGCTGTCTACCTAACACAACCCACCTCCTTTACCTGGGCTTGGGATGGGTTAAGGGAAAGTTTAAGGTCCTTACCCTTCTTTAGACCAAATCCTGAACTTATTAGCCGACCCCAAATACTTGGGATAAAGCTTGCATGATGATGATGATATTTAACCAGTTAATACAATTATCTTCAACTTGATTATATCAAATTTTGCTCACTATTTTCAAATTTGCCCACAAGGATTTGTGTGTCTGATTGTATTCTTCTACTAACTTATACGGTTGTTGACTACATTAAATAGAAGTGGTTGTTTTTCATTGAATGGCTCAGTTATTGATAGTGGATCACATGCTAAACCAAGCTAGTTTTGAAAACTTTTTTTGTTTTTTCTTTCACTAATGGTGTTCTTGAGAAAAGAGGACATGTGGATGGGAAATCTCTTCAATGATCAAGGTCGATACATTATTTTTGAATATGGGGATACATAGAGCAAATGGACCTTCAGAACAGATCCAACTCCAAAATGCGATATTTTGGGAAAAAAATTGATTTTTATCAATTTAAAATGAATTCTTAAGTATGTTATGTAGTAATGCATGTATACAAAGGATTGAAATACCTTTCATGGAAACACATGCATAAATAATTTTAAAAAATTGAGACCCACTCAAATAACTGGTTGTTCTTATTTGCAAACATTCCCAACACCTCTTTCTCTCTAAATGGACCATCTATTATGATGGTTGAAAGTTTGTTTACTAGGTGATGTCTTTCATTAAGGCTTCCGTAAACTAGTCAAATCAACTACCTTATGGTGGCTATATGTTAAGTTGGATAATACCATCATGTCATTCATCGCATATGTAAGGACAATCAGCCTTAATAATATGTTTTGAAGTATTGGAAATAATTTACCTCAATAATAATATGTAAGGACAATATGTCTTGTATTTTTTGATTGATTGAAATTAGAGCTGAGTGGGGAAATTGGAAATGTGCATTCGGAGTTTTATGTGATCGCTGCAGACCAATAAAACTAAAGGGGAACGTTTATAAGACGGCTGCAAGACCAGTCATGCTTTATGGGAAGAAATATTGGGCGGTCAAAAAACAACATGTCTATAGGATTTGTGTAGCTGAGTTGAGGATATTGAGATGGATGAGTGACATGACAAGAAATGATAGAATTTTGAATGAATACATATGAGGGAACTTGGGGGTGGTTCCAAAAAGATATAAGATGAGGGAAAGTAAACTTCGGTGGGCTGGCCATGTGTAACGTAAACCTGATACAACTTTGGTTGGGAGTGGCGATTTGTTTCAAGTGGAAAGCTCTAAAAGGGCTAGGGGATGGCCTAAAAGGACATGGATGGAAGTGATGAGAAGAGATATGGTGACTTATGGTCTAACTTAGGCTATGGTGCTTGATAGTGTAGAATGGTGGAATAGAATTTGTATAGCGGACCCCAAATAGTTGGGATAAGGCTCGTTTGATGATGATGGTCTCACATGAATTTTATGATCTTTGGTTATTGGAATGGCACTAATGTTATCTCCGTGAAGGGGGTAGGAGTTGATATTTGTTTACTTAAATTTGCGAGTAGGGAAACATCTAACCTAAATGGCACTGATGTTACCTCCGTTAAAATACTACAGACTACTTCTTGTTTGCCTACCTGACTATTTAGAAATTAGAATCTACATATTCTAGATATGCTTGATGATAATGTCATGACACCATTATCTGAAATGTGTGTTTCAAAGACATTGACCCAAGTGGCAACAACAGGGACACCTGTATCAGAAATGCCAACCTCGAGATGTAACTTTGAGTACTTAATTATTGGTGGCATTTCAAAAAAGGGAAGTTCGAGTTTCTAAGTATTAACACGTGTTGTGTCAAGTGGTGTATTGACATGTGCCTCAAACTGTGGGCATATGTTGCCGAGTTATATAGATTAGAATTGAGTGAATATGCTAAATTAAAAAATGCAATAACTGCTAAAAAATGATTGCCAAATGCTTAATGGCTCATCACTTTACCACATGAGAATCATTATGCCTGGTGATGTTTGGGTGGTTAGAATCCTCTAGCCACATTCCTATTTGCTATTGGGTTAGAAGAAGCTAGTGTCACTTGTTGATTGGCTCTCACTCATCCCTAACAGATTATCCTTGCATCATGAGAATAAGATTTGCCTCTGTGGTCAACTCTTGCATATGTTTGCTCCATAGTTGTTGGGAGCATGAGCAAATTGAGAGCTGGATAGGGATGGGGAGTTGGGGCATCACGAAAGGCTAGAAGACCCTGTGGTTGGGAGCAGTATCCGTACAATGCATATGTTGGGGATCGAGATCCCTATGTATTAGGGATCTTGGGATTCAGTCCCTACATGATGCAGCCTAGAATACTCTCGAGTATCTAGAAGAGAGAGACAAGCATAAAGTTCATAACAAGAGCCGCAAAAGGGCAAAATAGTCATTGAATATGTCCTTTCATGTCTTTTATTTATTTCTTGGGTTCACTTAAAGGTTTTTTATAATATATGGCCATGATTAGATTAGATAGATGGGTATGATTAAGTCTTGTTAGGGTTTTCTTATGTAAGAGATGTACTTAAGCATGATGAAGCATCTTGTTATAAAATTTTATTCAAAACCCTAGAGCAACAAGTGCTTCTTCTTTTATCTCTGGTTTTTTAGTCTTTATCTAATGTTGGATCTTTGCTATCTTCTTTGCTAAACCTTAGCTTCAAGCTACTAGGTTTGCGCCAAGTTGGTATCAGAGCCTGATAATCTGTATGGTAATGTAGCACGATATGGTAGCACTATACGGATGGTATTGTAGCATCGTATGATACTATAGCACATATTGTATCAATGTATGGTATTGCAGCACGTACTGTAACATTATGCGGACGATACTATAGCACTGTATGGATGGAAATGTAGCATCGATTTTTGTGGCCTAGATCAACAACCATGCCTCAACATAGAGGAAAAACATCAACCATAGAAGCCTTTGATGGTTGTTTGTAAGAAGGGATTGCAAATCTGAGGAGATTGATTGAAACCCTAGCTCTGCGTTTTACGTAGTTGGAAGCCCCATCCCAAGAGGATGAGATCGAGGCAGATAGGAATCCATAAATCCTTTCCATGATCAAGCTCCAAGGAGAGGTAGCTGTTCATATTGTGAGGGATAGTAGGCGGTCTCAAGGTTGAGATCCCGGAGTGTTATGGAAGTCTATCCGAGGACAACGATGGAGAAATTTCGTTCTCACCAAATGGCTCTCAAGATCAACACGTTGTGGATTCGGACTCGCCACCTATCGTTGACAAGTACTTGGATGAAGATTTGGGTGTTGTGAAAGAAGTGGGTGATCATAACTTTAATGGTGATCCAATCTATAAAGAGGACTTTGAAGAAGATCCTACCATTGGAGAGGATTTTGTGGATTCTCCTATTCTCGATGAAGAGAGGGTGAATGTTAAGGAGTTGTTCCCAAATAGAAGAGGTATCTGGTTTCTTAGTCCCCAGAGAAAGTAGCGAGGAGAATGGTGTTGACGGAGGTAATGATGATGATGTTATTATTATTGGATTTTTACCTGAATTTAGGGTGTCACATGAGGACACACCAAAGAGTTCAAGGTATTTTTCCCTGTACTTTTAATTGGTGAGTTTAGCATAGGAGATGCTCACCAAAGGGTTGTTCAAATCATTCTCTATGAGAGAACTCAGGTTGAGTTGTTACTTTGCTTCGATGGAAGAACCAAATCTTTTTCTTATCTTCTTCCCCCAAAACCTAAACCGGAGGAACCAAATATTTGCGTCTTGACCTCATACAATTCAGCTAGGGGAAGCCGCGGAATTCAAATTATTTTTTGCATTCTCAGAGAAGAGTTTTCCTCAGGTATGTTCATGATCGATAGTGTTGTGCACTTGCATCGAAGCAGTGTTAGCTTTCAATTTGGACAAAACATGATGGATAAGATGTATATGAGAGGTACCTTAACTTGTAAAACATTGATCTTTTGTTCTTTTGAATTGTATATCTTTAAGGTTGAGTTACAATGTTTTCAAGAGATGAAGAACTTTGGGTTATGGTCTTCTCAATATACCCTTGTTGATAAAGTGACATCAAAATGGCGTAGTGGACAATTGGAGAGTATGGAAGCAGTTAAGCAGGCCTATGTTAAAGCTATGAAACGTAGGTTTGGCTTTAACCTTTGCACCGGCATTACACTTTCATCAATTCATTGCAATATTGACAATCTCCTTTTGGGGGATTTAACGCTTAGTCTTACAAGCCATAGAGGTGAGATTTCCTACAAAGTTATTTTGAATGGATATCACTGAGGACGTATGATTTGAAGTGATTCAAGACGCTTCCCTCCTATTCTCGTTCATGGTTCTAGACCAAGTTGTTATGAATATGATAAGTTGAGTTAGCGCAAGATTAGAGATTGTGAAGTGGTGTAGAAGATAAATATAAATGCTTAGAAATTGTATCTTCCCAGCCATATTCACTCTTCTGATGTTTTTAATGCCAAGCATCTGATTTCATATCATGGCGATACCTCTAACGCCGAGCTGCCAAATTCGAGGGTGAATTTCTTTTGAGGAAGGGGGCATTGATGCAGCCTAGAATACTACTCTCGAGTGTCTAGAAGAGAGTGATAAGCTTAAAGTTTACAAGAGGAGTTACAGAAGGGAAAAATAGTAATTGAACATATCCTTTTATGTTTTTAAATTATATCTTAGGTCATTTTACTTACTTAGGGGCATGGATAGAAGTATTGAGAAAAGATATGGTGACTTTTGGTCTTACTGAAGGTATGACCCTTGATAGAGAAGAATAGAGGAGCATGATTCATGAAGTCGACCCCAAATCATTGGGATAAAGCTTGGATGATGATGTTGAGGGGCAGAAGTAGTAATTTCTAGATTCTTTTATATCTTTTTATTCACTTAAAGTCTGTTATAATAAATGACCATGATTAAATTAGATGGATAACCAGGATTAAGTCTTGTTAAGGGTTTTCTTATATAAGAGTTGTACTCAAGCATAATGAAGCACCTTGTTATGGAAATCTATTCAAAACCCTAGAGCAGCAAGTGCTACTTCTTTTATCCTTAATTTTTGAATCTTTCTCTAAATTTGGGAATTTCCCTATCTTCTTTTTTAAACCGTAACTCCATGCTACTAGTCAGCGTCACTACCTTTTGAGGATCTCAATATCGTCCTTTTGGGATCTCAATCCCAACCAATATCGTCCTTTTGTGATCTCAATTCTGACCTTTTGGGATCTTGATCCCAACCTTTTGAGGATTTTGCTCCAAATCATAAAAAATATATATATTTTATGACTATACATACCCGTTGAAGTAGGGATCTCTTTGTTTATGGCTAGCAAGCAATGCAACTATATTAGAAATATAATTGCAGTGCTAGCTAGCTTGAAAATCATCATTTTGGTCGTTATCTTGGTCTTTAAGGTGGGGATTGAGATCCCGATATTTAAAAATCGGGATCCTTTGGAGATCCCTTTTTTGAAACTCGAAAGTGAGATTCTAGAGCGTGATCGCCTCCCAGGTTGAGAGATCCCAACAATTACTTTGGCAAAAATCCTCGATAATGTTCATGCAAGTTCAATTCCTTGCTAGCAACCACGTTGCAGCATGTTGGATGTGGGGTTGCTAATTTATGGCCTGAGCATTATTACACGTGATTATATCATCAAGCGTGCGAGTGCCACATTATCAGGGAACTTCAGAGTACTGCATTTTAAATAAATATAGCTCATGTTCAAAATCCATACAATAGATCTGCATAGATCTAAGTTAGCCCTGAGAGCTTGTTTGAACTCTTACCTAAACTGTCTTAGTGTTAGCATTCTAAATAAGAATCTGGATGATATCCTTGGGCTGATTTCAAGAATGATGAGCTTGCTGATATGATTTATTTGATTGAGGTCAATTGAGTTGAATCCCACTTTTTGAACACAAATAACAGTTCACCAGAGATCAAAGAAACTCTGACGAGTTGTCAGTTGACTTGCATGAGTCTTCCATGTTTTCATAGCTCCTTCTAGTTCTCAGATTTAATAGGTTCAGAATTTAATAGTTTGGTGCTTTCTCACTTTTCAGTTTCTCTCAGGAGTTGTTAATCCTTGTATTTGGAAACTCATTTAGTATACTTGTTAGAATCATGAGTTTACCTGGTTGTGGCTCAGTCTGAGTTTGGCCTTTTCGAACTGCGGTTTGGACAAACATAGAGCGGTGTTCTCTAGAGAAATTGAAGTTGAAGTGGAGATCCACAAGTTGAAGTTGTGATGGGAATTCCAAGCTCAAAGCGATTATATTAGCATGATATCCTTTGTTTCCATATAATTTGAAACAATTAAGCCTAAAGAACCCTAATCATTAAGATGAACATATGCTAGTGCTTTTAGAACTAATTTAATGCCTTCTTTTGAATACAAAATTGTGAAGTGTTAATTACTTTAGTGCCCCTTATGCATTTGTGGGTTGCAATTTCGAAACACTCTGATGCTCATATTTCCTAAGAATTTATGTTTCAAAAATAAATTAAAACATGAGTAATAATCTGACATACAGTTTAGTCGTCCTCTTTTCACTGCAAGTAACATGAAAAAGTATGCGTGCGAATGTTTCTGTAAAGAGGGTATTCATGGGCTAAATTCTGCACCCCAACCATCTTGTAATTCATATTTATGACAACTTCGCAAATATTTTTGGCATTTCTCCATTGACCTTCATATATATTTTTTTTGTTTTGCATTGGAATGATTTCTGGAGCCATGATGGTGTTGTCATTTAGTCGTGGTTTCTTGCTGGCATTCAAAAATACAGATTCTTGATGTTGGTTATTATTTTTGCATCTTGGATTCAAAGTAGCAGGATATCATTGGTAGATTTGTGCTCTTGATGATGTATCCTAATTTTAATTTTTTGTATTCTTGCTTTTGCATGTGCATTTTCTTCTGTTAATTTGGAGTAATGGAAAATTTTGGTTGTAGGCAAAATATGAGCAAGAATCAGTCATCAGGTCCCCAACAGTCCATGGGTTCCTCTCTTTTGGAGAAAACATGTGATTTGTTACAGAACTTCCCAGAATATCTGGATGTAGTTGTAAGTGTTGCAAGGAAGACTGATGGGAGACACTGGGCTAACCTTTTTGCTGCAGCTGGAAGATCTACAGAGTATGTTTTCTTTACATTTAGCATGCTATCATTTCTGTATTTTACCCTTTACAGTTCTACAAGTTTGCTTTGAACCTTTTGACTGCTTGGAGTAATATGTTTTGATGGTTTTCTTAATTATTGCAAACCTCAGAGAGTTAAATATAACAGTTTTACCTCTTAAGTTTTGTTGCTGTCTTCTGCATCCATCAGATCAAAATTATGGTGTTTGTTTTGACTCCATAGCTGTCTAACTATATTCCTGAGGGTCATATTATTAAACTGTATGTGTGTGTGTATTCCCGCTTATACGTGTTTGTATGTGCTTATATACAGGCATTCATATTATTAAACTGACTTATATTATTCGTAGCATGGTCATACTCACTCGTGTATCCACATTTATGGCATTAAGTAGAGTTGGGGCATATTCAAGTAAACATGAATCAGAGTTGGACCTATTAGACCAGTGCATATTAGGTACTTATGATTAGGCATGTTATGTTGAAACGTGATTAGGTCCACCCTGCTCCAACGTTGAAACTTGAAGTTTCCTCGGCTTTCGGAAACCTAGAATGAAATGAAAAATCACCATTTATTAAAACTTCTGCTTCTTGAAATTAAACTCAAATTTGTCCCAAATTTATGGGTTTGTCATGCTGTTGGATCTATCCATGCATTTTCTTGTAATTTTTAATTTGTTCAGTTGTGGTGCCAAGTGTGATTTTATATGGTTGGCTGTTAGTTGAAAACTAACCTCTGGCATCATAGTATACATGTTATATTTTCTTGTTGGTCATCCAGTTTAAGGAAAATGGCTTTTTAGTTCAACGGTTCCCTGTGGCTGTAACAAAATATGAGAAACCAATAATGTAGTTGATTGCAACTTATGATGTTCAGTTTGATAATAGATACCATCTATTAGGTAGGAGTCAGCAGGGTTAAGGCCTCATATAGGGAAGTCATCTTAAAATCTTCTTCTTTGTCCACTAAAACATAAGGTATTAGTCTTTGTTGTTTGGGAAGCAATGGCCATATATCTTACTTGAGGCCAGGTCAAGTTATTAGAATTTTTTATAGAAGAATGCAAATCCCTATATTTATTTTTGGAATTTAAATTGCTGGGGTATCTGGTTATGAGATTTCTGCCTGGGCATATATTCCTTGTCTTGAATTGTTCTTCTCCATCTATTGTTTCATGTCCTTGGGACTGTGTTATTGCATTTTGGGTTAATTGTTAGAGAAAATTATGGATGCCCCCCTAAAATACACTTTGTAGATATTCCACCCCCCAATACTTTTAGTACTACACTCATAAACCAATTACTATTTTTTCTTGCTTGTACCCCCTAGTCAAAAAGTTAATATTAAAAAGACTAAACTACCCTTCCCCTCCCTGGCCGTACCTGTTAAAACTCTCTGTCTCTCTACCTGCTCGATATCAGTCTCTCTCTCTCTAACTGCCCAATATCAGCTTGTCTCTACTCGCTCGATATTAGCCTCTCCCCCTCTTTCTCTGCTCAATATCAGTTTCTCTCTCTGCCCAATATTAATTTCTCCCTCTCTCTCGCGCTCTCTGCCCAATATTAGTTTCTCATACTCACATTGAAAAATGTGGTCTGCACAAAAGTGTGCCGGACCAGCCTCTGGAAATCCATAAGTCTCATGACCAGTCCGGCATGCTTTTGTGTCGGACCGAAGCAAAAAAAAAAAAAAGGTGGTTCGACATACTTTTGTGCTGACTGGTTTCTGGCTTCGGAATTCCAGATGCCATGTGGCTAGTCTGTTGCACTTTGTGCCCGACCAATGTTTTTTGCTTTGGTCTGGCACAAAAGTATACAAGTGAAGCCACAAGGCTTTCGGAATTCCAGAAGCCGGTCTGGCATACTTTTGTGCCGGACTGTTTTTGTTTTGCTTCGGTCCTGAACCGGTTTCTGGAATTTTGAAAGCCTTTTGATTGGTCCGACAAAATTTTTGCTGGACTGCATTTTCTCAATATGAGAGAGAGAGAGAGAGAGAGAGAGAGAGAGAGAGAGAGAGAGAGAGAGAGACGTA